CGCCACCGCCCGACGCCCCAGTTGTCCCAGCCGCTCGGTTTGGGATACGGTTGATCTCGGCCCACATTGTGTGGCAAACCGGCGTTCCGGCGGGCGTTCGGGCGCGCGGCTTTCTTCTTTTGGCCGAAATGAGACATCGAACACTACACCCGGTGGCGGGTCCGGATACATGTATCTCCAAGGTGCAAGGAGCGGGCCGCGCCGCACCCAATTTTCAAGCTGTGGGGCATGACAGCTCCTGAGCGTCGCGATTTCTTTGCCACGAGAAAAGAGAGCGAGTGCATCGATTAGTTTATCTCTCGTGATGTGCGATATGCGCGCGCGTGTGACTCCTTGAGCTCGATGTGTCCCCCGGCCGAGGGAAGTGACGAGGGCGTGTCGTAACCCCCTGGGTTCGGTTAGTGGGTGAAATGGTAATTTTGAAAGTCGCTGTCCGTCGGGGTTGTACTGGGGTAGGCCACATGGTGGCGCTGTCTCCGTTTCCGCGCGCTTGGCACGTTGCATGACCACAATGCGGGATTGCGTTGTGACGCGGCGCTTCGGCGCTGCGCTCGCGCGTTTTGGCGGAACGGCGGGGAGACGCACAGTCCACAGATAGGGTGGTCCCAGTGAAGCCGCTCCGAGCCTGAGGCTAAATTCATTTTTGTGTGTCGTCGATCTTTTGGAAAGTAAAATCTCTCAATGACTTGGATCTCTCCGATCGGCCTGCGCCCCCGGCCGGCGGTGGGGGTTGTGGGGGCTACGCCCTATTAGTCATAGAGTACAGGTAGGTAGGTAGAAAGGTGAAGAACAGCCAGGCTCGGACTGGACACCAACGCGGTACAGCACCTTACCTTGTCTGTACGAGAAAAGGTTTTAAAAATCTTGCGACGGACTCGGCCACACGATGGCCATCACGCTCGCACCTGCCGACCGCCGCCACGGCGGCGAGACGCATTCCTCACCGCGGCGCCGGCCAAAGGCTAGCGCTAGGCAGCTGCCGGCCACACCGGGCCGGAATGGCCGGTACCCGTCGCCGCACACTCCTACGTCCACGCCGCTGTGACGTCTGGCGACGAGGCGCCGGCCGCCAATCTTCATCGCCAACGTGGTCGCTCGCTGGTCCTCTCGGCTCGGCCACGCGTCGGCCCAGCTCGCACAAGCTCCAGACAGCCACCGGTCGCCACGCGCAAAGCGTACGGGTCGCCGGCTCCCTGTTATGCTCTCCCGCTGGCCGGCGTAAAACTGTGCTGGCAGTTGTCATGCCGTACCCGTCGCGTTTCGAAAGAGAGCCCTCAATCGACGCCTCTACACGCACCGCGCTATCGCTCTCAACAACTGCTACCGTGGACATCAAGCTCCTCGACTCGATCTGCGGCTACGACGGCGCTCTAGCTGCTGGCTCTCGCGGGTGTCTGGCGACCCGCTCCGGCTTGCGAAACGGCCGGCCGCGGCGACGTGTTTCGAGCTCGGTGGTCTTCTCCGCGCGGCTGGGCCCGCTACTATATAGGACCGATCCGCCCCCTCGCTGGCCGGCTCGTCCGCCGTCCCTACGGGATGTGAGGGGCCGCTGGAGTCAATGCTGACCCACCGAGATTTCGATGTTGCCCGCCGATACCTCTCCAGACGACGGCACCGGCGGGCCCCAGAAGCTTCACGGACGGTGAGGCGGGCTGTGGTTGGAGCAACCGGGCGGGAGGCGGGCGTGGCGCACCAGCGGCATGGCTGCGAGCTGGCCGGCCGGCTCCACGGCACTGTGACCGCGGTGCTCGCTCTCGCGGCCGTCTCACGACCCGCTCAAGCCGAAAACCGGACCGGCCGGTGCGACGCACCGCGAGTGGGATGGTCTTCTCCGCCCGGCTGGGGCCGCCCCTAGTCGGGGCCAACCCGCTCGGTCACTGGGCAGCGCGTGCGCCGGCGTTCTGGACGACGGTGTGCCGATGCATCCGGGAGGCTCCGCCGGGCTGCTCTAGCAGCCTCGGGAGGGTCGAAAATCGAAGCCGGAGCAGCGGACCACGGAAGCTCCACGGACGGTGAGGCGGGCTGTGGTTGCCCCCCCCTGACCGGGCGAGGGAGTGGCGCCCCGGGAGTGCCGCTCCGGCGACGTCGGTGGCATCCACGGCACCGTGACCGCGCCGGCCTCGCTCGGGAGGCTCTCTTTCGGAGCCCTCCTTAGGGGACCCCTAGAGGGCCGAATTTTTTTAAGACCTTTTAAGAAACGAGGAGGTTTGGGGGCTTAACTTGCCATTTAAGAGATTGCAGGCACGGGGGGTCCCTCTTTTAAGACCGTTTAAGAAAATCGGCCTCGCCGGCATGCGTCTCGGCTCTCGCTGGGTTTTCCGCGCCGTTTTCTCCAATACTGCCGTTATTAGGCACAAACCCGCCTCTGAAGACACATCTGTAAGTCTGGTGCACTGACAGGAGCCATACTCGCATAGGGGACGCGTGCTGGCTGACTGTAGCCAGCTTCCCGGCCTACGGCGTCTACCGGGAGCCTCCCGGACCATCGACCTCGGGAGCTCTCCCGCACCGTTTAAGCGTTTAAGACCGTTTAAGGAATTGGCGGCCCAGCAGCTCTTAAAACTTGCCATGGCAAGTTTTAAGCCGTTTAAGCCGCAGGCGCCCCAGGGCCCACCCTTTTAAGCCTAGGGGTCCCCTAAGGAGCCCTCGGCCTCCGAAACCGTCGCGTTGCTACGCCTGGACGGCTTCGCTGCTCGCCAAACCCGTCGGCACCGTTCATATACACATGAATTGTGAGTGAACGCGCATTTTTCTGATATCTTACTGAAATGTTCCCGAATGTTAGTTCGGATCTCGCCCCACGGACACAGTACAGAGGCGCCTCGTGGCACGGAGAAGCGACTAAGAGTCGCCGACGTGCGAGTAAGATACCAGAAAAATACGCCCGGAATCACAATTGATCCCGTCGACAAGGCGCCCCAATCGCGGAGGCGTGGGCGTGGAGGCGAGCATCGACGCCTCGACGGTGCTCTTCAGAGGCCGAAAACAGGCGCCTAAAAAAGGAGATAACGCGAGACTGATCACGCGCGCGGAAAAGCCCGAGGCGCGAATCCAAATTGCCGAGGCGCTTGCTAATCACCCCAGCTAGGGCCACGGAGGCGCTCGCGGCAGGTCTCCGCGCGCGCGCTGGCCGGTGGCAGCTGATCTCGGGCGGCGGGCGGCGGGATTGGGCTCGGGCGGCACCTTTTGCCCTCAAAAGTCGTTCGAGAGTACCGGGTCGCGGCGGGAACGCGCCCATCCGCTCAGTGGAAGTCAGGAGTCGATCGCCTGCGCCACGAGCGAGCACGGGAGTCGTCGCGACGGGAGTCGTAGCGGCGTGGCGCTGGGCTTCGAGAGCCGGACATGGGCGCGGCGCGGGCGGCCGGTCGGGCGTGTGAGGTCCGCACCTTCGCGACGGGCAGGCTCGATACGGCCGCTGGCCGGGGCGGCCGCTCGACCGGCCGCCGCGGTAGTGCCGGCGGCGGCGTCGGCGTCGGCGTCGCGAGCGAACTGGCTCGCATTCGACTGAGAAGAATTTGACATGCGGGGCGCAGACCGCGGGTTATCGCCGGCGGGCGTGTCGCTCCCTCCCCCGGTACGCGACCGACGCACGAACGACGAACCACTATCATGCCCTGTCTACCCTTATCCCGCGCTTTGAGTTTTGAAAAAACAAAAGGAGGCACGTGTGGAGGCCGGTGTACGCGATTCGGTCACACGCTCAGCACACCAGTTACCACAATCCCACGCGCCATGAGCGGAGCAGACAGATGTGCTAGTGTGGATTGGACCTTCGCCGCGCTCGCCCCCGCTACAAGCACAATAGCCCCAACACACCGCGCTCACGGCGAGAGTGTGCTACGTGGAGTGTGCTGCGCGGAGCGGTGGGGCTGTCATGGCGCCGCGTGCGTCATCCGTCCGCAGGCGAAAGGACAAGACGGGCTTTTAAACGCCATTAGATTCTACCCAGAGGGGTGGTTGAGGGGTTGAGGGTTGAGGCCCCCCCTCAACCATCTGGTTGACGGTTGAGACCCCCCCTCAACCCTTTAGTTGAGGGTTGAGGCCTCCGGGGCCTATTCACAGGCTCGAGCGTGATCACAAGATAAACTGGAAGAGCCTGCCGCCCAAAAAATCGCTTCGCCTGCGGCGCGCTCTTGCGCTCCTCGGACCTCGAGCGCAATCCATAAGTAGGAGACGCTCACTGTCGCCAGTCAGGCGCCTGATCTCTCAGCAAAGCGATGGCCTACTCGAGTACCTGGTAAGGTGGGGGGCGGCAGTCGCGTCCTTGTTTTCGACGTTACGTGCCGCCGCATTTCGATCACCGATCACCCCCTGAATAAGGAGTCCTGAGAGAACTCTCCAAAGGCCGGTGATCGGTGACCAGGTGACCGGCCGGTGATCATGCAGCTAGTGGGTGGTGCTCCGGCCACCGTAAGGACGGTCAGGCTACGGTCAGGAAGTAGGTTTGAGTTCACACTCTCACCAACACTCTTAAAATCCGTTTGTCGATAACGGATAAGGCAATTCAACACGAATGGTTAGTTACTGCTCGCTGCTCGGCCATGCGGTAGCGTTAGAGATTTTATGAGAGAGGACAAAGGGAGTTTTAACCACCTCTAGTCTGACGCCGTGTGCAGAGGCTTCAACACTTGTCTACTTGCTGGAGCCGAGCAGGAGGGCCCAGCGCACAACCTCTGGTCAACTCACCCTCCACACCCCGTACATATACGATGCTCTACTCAAGCTACAACGGAGGGAGGCGCTTCGTCCCGCGCGGCGGATGTAGAGCTCTACACACTACAGCTCTACAGAGATTTTATGAGAGAGAACTAAAGGGAGTTTTAACCACCTCTAGTCTGACGCCGTGTGCAGAGGCTTCGTTCGGTCGATGGTGAGTGAGAGTGTGTGTTGATGAGTGCAGATGACCGGCCCGACGAGTGCAGCGGCGCGGCGGGGTCGGTCGAAACGCGGACCCAGTCCTTTTTTCGGGTGGTTCTGGGTAGGCGTGCCGTGGTGAGGCCTCAGAGGCCGGGCGCCGCGCCGACGAGGCTGGCGAGGAGAGGCCGGAGGAGCAGCGTCCACGCGTTTTGGGCAAAGGCTGCGCCGCCGAGGGCGACGACGGCGAGGACCGGCCTCGCGCCCGAGAAGCAAGTCGAGTGGGGCGTGTCGCGGCCCGCCTAAGGAGAGAGCAACGCAAGGCTCACGCGACGCTCGGACAATGCGCTGAAGAAGGCGTGGCGCGCGGCCCGCCTCGCCCCAGCGCGCCACTGAGGCGCGCAGCGAGGCGTGCTGCAGCGCCGCGGGCACGAAGAAGACGATGGCGAACCCCGAGAGGCCGCAGAGCTGGAAGAGGAAGGTCGTGTCGGTGACGGCGCCGGTTAGCAGCAGCGGCGGCAGCGCGCAGAGCGCGGCGGCGACGGTGGGCGTCGCGAGCTTGGGTGGTAGAGCGTGCACGAGGTTGGCGGCCAGTACGCCGTTGAAGAGCGGGAAGGCGGCGGTCGTCGTGAGGAGCGGCAGCAGCGTCACCCAGCCCGCCACGACACGCGCCCAGAGCGGGCGCGCCGTGCCTGCGGGCGCGCCGCCCGTGAAGAGCTCAAAGTTGAGCGTCACGAGCGGGGCGGTGTCGGGTCCAAAGTAGGAGGCGGCGAGGCAGCCGAGGAGCAGGTAGAGCGCGCAGCACGCCGCCAGCGCGCCGCTGAGCGCAGCGCGCGTCGCTTCGGGCGCCGCGGCGGCGCGGCGGAGCGAGGGGACGGACTGCTGGACAATGTGCGAGAAGAGGAAGGTTGGCAGCGCGCCGCTGTAGCCCTGCAGGTCGACGAGCGGCTGGACGGAGCCGGAGTGCCTGCGGGGAGGGGGCCGGGGGGGGGGGGGGGACCATGGTCATGGGCGTGCCATCAGGCTCGGGGGAGTGCCGCGTGAGGCGGGCGTGTCGTGGACGTGTCGTGCCATGGGCGTGTCATGCGGCTGGGCGGAGGAGCGCCGGGTGCGCGGCGAGGCAAAGAGGCGCGGCGCGGAGGGGTCGGCGGCGGCGAGGGCGAGCGCAGACGCGAGCGTCGCAACCATCAGGAGGAGGGTGCCTACGGGACACGTCCACGACGTGTCCGGGAGGTGCGAGGGATCGACTTCCGGCCAGGAGGGCGGTGCCGAGGGTGGCGACGGCAAGCTGGCCCTGCACGTGCGCGGTCGAGCCGGAGCCCCTCGCCTGCAGAGGCAGCTTGCGGACGTGTCGTGGACGCGTCCCGAGGCAGCGGGGGATCCGCCGCCCTCCCGCCTGCAGCGCGCAGAGCGGCAGCAGGACGGAGGCGCACAGGGCGAGGAGCGGGCCAGGAGAGGCGGTCGGGTCGAGGCTGGGCGGGTAGCCGAGCGAGGCGTGCGCCGTTGCAACCCAGATGGCGCAGCAGGTCCACATCGCCGCCTGCTCGCAGCGGCCGCCGTGAAGAGACGCCGTACACGGGCGGCGCAGAGGGCGCGTGTGGGTGCGCCAGGTGCAGCGAGCAGACGGCGCCGATCCAAGCTGCGCGCGACCTCCAGCCGAGGAAGAGGGTGCAGAGCTGGGCGACCTGCTCGCGCGGGCCCGAGTGGGGGCTCAGGTGAGCTCTCCTTCACAGCCGAGGCGCGTGCGGAGGGGCGCCCACCTCGAGCGCAGAGGACGTGTCTAGGACGTGTCTAGGACGTGTCTAGGAAGTGTCTAGGAAGTGCCCACCTCGAGCGCAGAGATGTCCGCAGGAGTGCTCCAGTCAGGACCCGCGCCGCACCCCTTTGCGCCGCGCGCCGCCTCGACGTCGCCCCCTCCCCCCCCTCCTCCCCCTCCTCCCCCGCCCTGCGGAAGCAGCGGCTCGAGCAGCGGGGCCGGTGCTGCACCGCCCGGCTGGTGCGAGCGGGCAGCGGGCGGCGGCGGCTGCCGGTAAGGCGAGCCGAGCGCCGACGACGCGCCGCTCGAGCAGCCGGCGCCGGGGCTGAAGGGCGGAGGGCTGTAGAGCGGCTCGCGCCGCGGCGCGAAGGGCGATCGCGCCGCCTCGCCGAAGAGGTCGCCGAGCCGAGGGATGGCCCAGTTGGTGCAGGAGTAGCCGCCAGCCCCGACTGCACCTGCCGCGCTCGCCTCCGCGCTCGCCTGCTGCACCTCCGCCTAGAGACGCGTCCCGGACATGTCCTGGGCGTGTCCTCTCGACGTGCCGCACTCGCCCGCTGCGCCTTGAGGGCTGCGGCGAGGTCGACCGAGAAGGATCCCGACCTGAGCAGAGGAGAGGCGCTGAGAGGAGACCTCGAGACCTCGAGACCTCGCAGCACGCCAGCTCCGCCGGGGAGGAGGCGGACCTGCGGAGCGGCGCGGAGGCGCCCGCCGGGTCGAGCGATGCGGCGGAGGTGGCGGGGCTGCCGACGGTCTGGGGGACGTCAATCGGAGGCGGAGGAGGGAGGAGCTGGAGCGGCTGCAGCTCGCGGTGGCGCTGCGGCTCCCAGACGAGGAGCGGGCGGAGGGCCTGCGGGACGGGCGCGGGGGGGGGGGGGGGGCGGGTCCCCCCACGGGCGAGGAGCGGGCGGACGGCCCTTGCTGCGAGCTGAGCACGTGTCTAGGACGTGTCTTGCAAGCCCCAGGGTATGGAAGGGTATGGAAGCGATAAGTGCTCGGAAGTGTCTCGGAAATGTATCGGAAGTGTCTCGCCTTGAGCTGCGAGTCCCTCGCGCCGACCGAAAAGCCTCCCCCCCACCAGCGGTAGGCGGCGCGGTACTCGTCCAGCTGCGAGGGGGCGCCTGGTCACACAGCATGCCGTGTGAAGAGACGCCGACGGCACCGACAGGGAGGCCTTCCAGCTGCGAGGTAGCACCGCCGATGAGCGGCTCGGTGAGCGGCGCGGAGAGGCGGGCGGCGACGAGGGCGGAGCGCGGAGTGCGCTCCCTCGAGTGCGAGCGCGGCGCGCCGTCCCTCGAGTTTGCGCGGTCGCGGCGGTGGAAGGGCGCCGCTGGCTCGAGAAGCGACTGGCCACCGTCGGCGTGCCGCACGACAACTTCGTGCGGCGTGAGGGGGTGGACCACCTTGCTCGAGACGTGGTTCTGCACCGCGTTGGCCCGGTCTCCCGCCTCGAGCAGCCACGAACACGTCAGGAGCGAAAGCGCGGCGACGACGACGAGCGACAAGGCAGAGGCTGCGATGCCGGCCGCGGCGACGGCGTGCGGCAAGCCGAGCACGCCGGCGCCGAGGATGAAGTTGACGGCGAGGTAGAAGATGCCAGTGGGGGACTGATCCTGCATTGGCATTGGCGGAACGTCGCGAGAGACGTGGTGGAAGAAGCGCGAGCGGCAAAAACTTTACCTTCTCAGCTCACCGGCCCTGGATGTGAGGTTGCCGACTGCTCTCCAAGTGCTCCAAGTGCTCCTTCTCTTGAACAAGTTATTTAGGACCACCCCGGTTCCGGACATCGGCGAACGATTGGACGGTGCCTCCAACTGAGCCAAATGGAGCCCTGTGATGTGGGACCTCACTCCCAGAAGCTTGGAGCTTCAGGCCGCGACCACGTGGCTAGGTGGACACTAGAGTGCCATTTTGGCGCCAAATCTTGGCGGGAAATGACACGTGGCTTGGCGGGAGTGTGGTGTGGCTGCGCTGCTCGCCAGCGCTGCTGTTGAGCGCCAGCTGCTGCTCCCTTCAGCCAGACGGCCGGGCCTGCCTGCGCAGCACGACCGCTGGCCTTCCTCCTGCACCACAGGAGCGCGCCAAGGCGCGCGTCTGGGCAAGCAGTGCGTCTCATCGCGATGCGAGAGTCGACGCGGTGACGCCGCCGCTCGCCGGCTAGAATGACAGTGGCAGCATTCGAGTACGCGTCGAGCTGTGCTTACCAGCACTCGTATGCGAGCTCATTGTGTCCCTGAGCTGCTGTGGGGTGCGTGGGCTCAGCTGCGGAGCACGTACTGGGCGGCGGTAGGGGGGTGGTCCTAAATAACTTGTTCAAGAGAAGGTACGCCGTGCTAGTGTAGAAAAGAGGGGCCTGTGTATGGCGCTCTTTGTTGCTCGCTCGCCCGGGCGGAGGGCATGGCCGCGGAGGAGGCGGGCGCGCGCTTGCCAGGCCTTCCGCAGACAGCCTCTCGGGCAGACTGAGGGTCGGCTTTGCGTGGCGTGGCCCGTGCGCTGCGCTGCGCAAAGCTGCGTGTGCTGAGGGAGCATCTGGTGCTTCCTCTGGGAGGTGCGCACCTCCTGCGACTGGTGGAGGGCCGTGCCGCCGCGCGCCTGCTCCGTGGACAGGGCGGGGAGACGGCGCTGCAGCGCCACAGCCTCCGCTGCATGCCGGTGCAGCACTCTGCTGCTTGGTGGGCAGCCTCCTGGTGCTGTGTGCGGTGTTGGCGAGGCGGCTTTGGCGCTGAACTGCCTGCCACGGCGAGTGGCGCGCGGCACGCGCGGCGCCGCGCGTGGCCCGGACAGCGCCAGAGAGCGCGCTCGATGGGCCAGCCGGCGCGGCGCGAGCGCCGCGCAAGCCTGGCACATCGTTTGTATGCTGCCGTCGATTCTCTGGTCAACGGCGGTCAATCTCGCGATTGTCGATCAAACCCGGCGGGCTTTTCGACGCCGTTTACGCGAAACGGCCTTGGCTTCGCTTTTCTTTTGCGGAGGGGGGGGGGGGGTAATTATTATTATTATTGCTGGCACGGAAATCCCGGAAGGGTGGTGTTCGCTCCCACCCGTCAAACCTCCTTTCTTCCTCTCCCCCCCTCCCCCCCCCCGCTCCCCTCCTCGCCGCACCCGTCTCCGCCACCGCCCTCGGGGAGCGGGGAGCTAAGAAGCGCACCCAGCGGGCCAGATGCTCGGGGACGGGCTGCGGGCAAACCCAAGAGAGCCCTGACCCTGGGGGGTGCGCGTTCGCAAGGCCATACCACGGTTCTCTCTCCGAGGGTTAGCTCCGAGCGTTAGCTGCTTTAGGTTAGGTTAGGTAGCTGGAAGCTGCGGGGGCATGCTCGGTCGGCCTTTCGGACTCCGCTCGGCTATACAAGCCCAAGGGCCCGACCATCATCAAGATCGACAACACGGCCGCGCTGCGCGTCGCCGAGGACCGGTCATGCAGCGCGAGGATGGCGACGCCCTGGGTGAGCACCACGACGCTCGACGGTAAGAACGACACGTCGACGTCGACATCCCATCCGTGAACCACGAAAGGGCGCTCGACGAGGTGAAGCCCTCGGGCGCCGCCGCTGCGCCTGGGAGGCTGAGGCAGACGGCAGGGGCCCGCACCGTGCCCTAGAACTCGCTAAGAAGGGGAGAAAAAGAAAAGGAAGTGGTGCAAGTTCGCTTCTGTGTGCGTGTGGCGGCCCGGGCTGGAGCCTCTCGCGTCCAGGCCCTCCCCCTTGCCTGTCACCGCGTAGCTTGACTGGTCCCCGAAGATGTCTGAGCGCAAGGACGAGGACGAGCAGGTCGTATCGCTGCTCGAGGAGGCTCCGCGGCCGTCTGACGCCGCCGGGCTCTCGAGCTGCTCTCCGAGGATTGTCACGGCTCTCTACTGCAGCACGATGGCCATCAACGGCGGGTGCGCTGCGTGAGAGGCCTGTCGCTGGCAGGAGAGGCAGCGAGCTTGGCCCGTCACCTCTCGCTGCCCTGCCCTCGCAGGATGGTCGGTGCGTTTGGTCCTTCGCTCGAGACCTTTCACCGCACGACCCATCTGAGCCCCGGCCAACTCGGGACGGCGGTTCTCGCCAACCGGCTGGCCAAGCTCTTCGGCACGGTTCTGTGGGCGTGGTACGCCGAGCGCATCTCCGCCTCGGCGGCGCGCGGCGCCCTGTCTGCTCCGCTGATGCTGCGGCCGCACGCTGCCATGGCTGTCGGCGCGGCCTATAGTCCGCCGCAAGACGCGCAGCCTCGCACACGCCTCTGCCGGCAGCGGGCCCTCGCAGCACCCCGCACCAGCCCGGCGTGGCCGAGGAGGAGGCCGGCGCCTCGGACTGACCCGTGTGCCCTCCGGCGCAGGGTTCGGGTTCGGGTTGAGGGTTAGGGTCAGGGTCAGGGTTAGGGTTAGACTGACCCGTGTGCCCTCCGGCGCAGGGCTGGCGACGAGCGCCGCCTCGTGCGCCGTGATCGGGTTCACAACGTCGGCGGACGCGCTCCGCTTCGTGGTCGCAGCCTCGGGCGTCCCGTGCGGACCCCGCCCTCTGCCCCCCCCCCCCCCCCCCGCCCCCCCTCTCCGCCGCCGTCCACACTCACACGGGCTCGCCGCTGCAGGTACGGCTTCACAGACTCTGCCTGCATCATGCTCACGCTCTGGCTGTGGCGGTCCGACGCGGGGCGGCAGCGGGGTGCCGCCCGCCCCCCCACCCCCCCCCACCCCCTCTCCCCCTCCCCGTGAGCCAGAGTCCGCTTCACGGCCGGCGCCCTTCAACTCACTGGTCGGCTGACTAGGCGCCGTCGCCGTCGTCAACGTCTTCTTCACGGGCGGCGCCTTCGTGACGCCAATCCTGGTTGCCGCCTCGCTGCACTACCTCGAGGCGACACCGACCCCCGCCGCACCGCACACGCCCCCTTCCCCTTCGCAGCCCCTTGCCTCGCATCCCGTCGCCTGCCCCTGCCTCCCTCTTGCAGCCTCCCTCCCCCAGCAGCCCTCCCTGCCGCAGCAGCCCTCCCTGCCGACGCCCCTCGCTCCACCCGCCCGCCGCTCGCTCGCTCCACCCGACCCTCACCTCCCCGCTGCAGGCAACCGTGTGGCCTGCCTTCCACACCCTCGCCGCCGCCGCAATCCTCGCCGCCGCCGCCCTCTCTTGCACGCCCTCTCCGGCGCCGGAGCGGAAGAGCAGCGCCGCCTCGCGCTCCACCGCCGAGCTCGACGCAGTGAGCTCGAGAGTAGCCGAGAGGAGCCCGAGAGGAGCCGAGAGGAGCCGAGAGGAGCCGAGAGGAGCCGAGAGGAGCCGAGAGGAGCCGAGAGGAGCCGAGAGGAGCCGAGAGGAGCCGAGAGGAGCCGAGAGGAGCCCGAGAGGAGCCCGAGAGGAGCCGAGAGGAGCCGAGAGGAGCCCGAGAGGAGCCGAGAGGAGCCCGAGAGGAGCCCGAGAGGAGCCCGAGAGGAGCCGAGAGGAGCCGAGAGGAGCCGAGAGGGGCCGAGGCTGCAGCTCGACGCAGTCAGTCAGCGCTCAGGAGTCGCAGCCTTCTCTCCGCCTCCTCGAAGCCCTTCTCCCGACTCCCTCACCCTTCTCTGACCTCCCCACAAGGTGAGCTCCGAGTCGGAGCCGTCCGAGCTGCTCCCCAAGGGGCAGAGCCGCGCCGGTGCGCCCTTCGACCGGCGAGGGCGGTCCCCCGAAGCTTTCCTCTGAGCCTTCTCCGAGCCTGCTCGCAGGCGTGGCCTCGACCGGCGACAGCGGCGGCGGGGACGAGGGATATGGGGACGAGGGCGGCGCGCCGACCGGGCGCCTTCTCCCGCCCTTCCCCCGCACCTCTGCACGATCTCTGTGCCTCTTCTGCAGGCGGCACGCCCGACGCGAGGGGGAAGCTGGGGGAGGAGGAGGCGGCTGGGCGGCGGCGCGATCAGCCGCGCGGCGTGCAGGCCGGCGTGTGAGGCGTGTATTTGTGGACAGGCGCGGCTGGGCGGAGCCTCTCCTGACTCGCGCGGAGGAAGCAGGGCTAGCCTGGGCGGAAGCTTGGCAGGCGGCGGAAGCGAGGGGAGGAGGGCGGCGGTGCTCATCGCGGCGGCGGGCGTGATTGGCTTCTTCGCCAACGGGTGCAATCCCACCGCGGCGGCGTGGCCCTTCTCGGCCCCTTCTCGGACCTTCCTCGGAGCCTCCCTGCAGGTGCGAGCACACGGCAGCCACGTGGCTGTCGCCGTACGGCGTGCGATGGTGCGGGCTGGCAGACGAGCGGATGGCGGTGAGGAGGGCCCGCACATTGCCGCGGACACGAGGGGCGCGTCCACGGCACGTCCGGCGGCGCCGCAGGTGATGACCTCGAACTACTGGACATCTATGTCGGCCGGCCGCGTCGCTTGGGCGGTCGGTTCGAGTTTCGTCAAGTCGGCGTGGCCGGTGCTGCTGCTCAACATCGCGCTCTGCTCCATCGGCAGCCTCCTCTTCTGCAGGCGCGGTGCGGCGGCGCGTGCGGCGGCACAGCGCCGCCACTCGCCCACCGCTTCGCTCCCCCCCTCCCCCCCCCCCCGCTCCTGCCCCTTCCGCCTCCCTCCCTCCGTCCCGCCTCCTGCCTCTCCGTCACCCCCTCCCCCCCCCTCCCCCAGCACGAGCGAGGGCGCCCTGCTGGCCGCGGCCCTCAGCCTGGGCGTCGGCGTCTCCTCAATCTTCCCCGCGCTCGTCTCCCTCCCCGCCGAGCTGCGCGTCGAGATGACGCCGCAGCGGCTGGCGGTCCTCCAGCTGATGGCGTCGGCAGGTGCACTGAGGGAGGCGCAGCCCTCCGGCTGCGGCAGAGAGAGGGGTCACCGCCCCTCTCCGCGCTGCAGGCGAGATGCTCTGCCCGTTCGCTGTCGGCATCCTCTTCCAGGCGCCTCCTCCCCCGTCCCCTCCCCCCCCCCCGTCCGCCCCTCGCCTCCACACCCGCACCTTCCCGGCGGCAGATGCGCATGTACTCGTCGTTTGGGCCGGCGCTCACCGGGATGCAGGCCGTCGCCTTCACTGCGCTCGCCACGGCCTTCTTCGTCTTTCGAACGCCGCAGCCAAGCTACCGGCCGATTCGGCCCGCTGATGCTGTGTTTCATTGAGAGCGTGCGGGCGAGGGCGCCGTCGCGCGCGCGGGAACGATCGGGCGTGTGAAGCTCGCGAGGTGTTGCCGCACATAAGAGGCTTCATCAGTTCACCTCGACTCTTCCTTCGGCGTGCTAGACGGCGTGGCGGGGCGGGTCGCGAAGCGGGCAACACGTGAAAAAGCCGCGCGTAAGCCGTATCACGCACACTTTTATTTGTGAGTTACCTACGGCTAAGCCGTAGTGTAGACGCGCACGTCGTTTCTCCCGTGTCCGTCTCGCGAGACGCCGCCCCCCCTCTCGTCTGGGGGGGCGACCCCCCCATCTTTGTTTACCGAATGCGTCTCTGGATTAGAGTGCGTCTAGTAGGCCTCCTACTTAGACGCTCGCTGTCCTCGGTATGCTCGAGCATCCTAAGATGCGCGAGTCTATATCTGAGCCCTGGTGTCGAGGTGTCGAGGCCCGGTGTCGAGGGTGTCGAGCTGCTGTCGAGGGATAGAGGTGTCGAGGCCTGTCGAGGCCTGTCGAGGCCTGTCGAGGCCTGTCGAGGCTGAAACCATGCTTGTCCGTGTCGAGGAGTGTCGAGGGGTGTCGAGGGGTGTCGAGGGTGTCGAGGGTGTCGAGGGTGTCGAGGGTGTCGAGCGGGTGTCGAGCGGGTGTCGAGTGTTGTCAAGAGGCGTCTGAGGTATCGAGGTGTCCAAGGTGGCAGGTGGATGCAGTTGCAGCCCATCAACATACAACAAAAGTTGGGCAGCAGTTGCAAAGCTGTTTCATCCCTTAGTTGCAGCCTCAGTTGCACCCTGTTGATGTAGCACAACCTGAGCACAACCAGTATACTCTCTGTGGACATTTGAGGACATCAAGTGCCGGGAGTCATTGCCACTGTGCACCAAGGTGCTGTGCAGGTGCAGCACCAGTGCACCGCAGCAGCGTCGCTGCTGCAGCAGCGTCGCTGCTGCAGCGTCACCGGCGCACAAAGCGCAACTGACCACAGCGCTCATGGCACAAGGCTGGTGCCATGAGTCAGTGGACATTGCCACTGCACAAGGTGCTGTCCAGCAGCTAAGGGCTACAGTACCCCATCGCAGCAGCGTCGCCGCCGCTGCAGCGTCGCCGTTGCAGCGTCGCCAGTGCACAAAGCGCAATGGACCACAGGTCTGCACTCATGGCACAAGCTCACTGGTGTGAGGATTCATTGCCACTGTACAAGGTGCTGTGCAGCACCTTAGGGCTACCTGAGTACTGCCATGTTTGCTGCATCAACAGGGGTGCAACTGAGCTGCAACTTGAGCTAGAACTTGAGAGGCTGCAACTCAGGGATGAAAGTACTGCCAGCCAAGTTTGATTGCTGCTGCAACCCTGATTTCTAACTCTGTGACTCCAATGGGTCTACGTCTCTGCTGTGTTAGGATCATCAGAGGTGTCGAGCGGTGTCGAGGGGTGTCGAGCGGTGTCGAGGGGTGTCGAGGGGTGTCGAGGTGTCGAGTTTGGCACCTTGACACGGACGAGCATGGTTTCAGCCTAGATGGTGTCGAGGGGTGTCGAGGGGTGTCGAGTTTGTCGAGTTGGCATGGGTTGTCGAGGTGTCGAGTCGGTGTCGAGGTTTGGTGTCGAGGTGTCGAGGCCAGGGCTCAGGTCTATATTAGTTGCTCCGCGCATCCCGAATTGCTCGCGGCATCTCCGATTGGCGTTGCTGTCTCAAAAGACGCGCCGTGCATACTGTGAACAGCGCGTGTCTCAGAAGACGCGCGCATATTTTGAACAGCGTGTGGATCTCAAGAAATACACGCACGTATAAAAACAAAAAAGAAAACGAAAATCGGTGTGGCGAGCGCTGCGCGGCGGGCCGTGCCCCCGGCTGTGCGCCGCGGCTGCTGCGCTACTACTCGCACAGCCGCGGCGCGCCCACCCGAGCACTCGTGGGTGGGCGCCCTATAGCCTCTCCGCGCAACGTGCTGGGGCACGGACAGCGGCTCTCACGTGTGGCAGCGGCAGCAGGCCCACCGCTGCACCGACTCACACTGAACAGCACGCACAGGACACAGTCACAGAACACTGCCCCTGACGCCACTCACGGCCACGGGCTACTCAGACTTGGACACAGGCACCTCGCTTAGCACTCCGTGCACGTGGCTGCCGGTTGCCGTCACCAGCGCCGCTTCCTGCCCAGATCAAACACCTGCGACAGAAACGGAGGCGATGAGCGGCCCGCGGTCGCCGTGAGAGCGCGCGTGGTGGGCGACGGCTCACCGATCGAGCGGAAGCGGTCACGCTGTGGGGGCGGCGGAAGCGGTCACGCTGTGGGGGCGGCGGCGAGGCGGGCAAGCCACCCGCAGATCCCCAGAAGGACGCCGTCGCGAGGTCGAGGGCGGGCGGCGGGGGCGGCGAGAGCGAGGCGCGAGGCGCGAGGCGGTGTTGGCGGCGGCGGTGGCGCGGGCGGCGGCGGTCACGGAGCGGGGGCGAGAGGGTGGTGGCGAGCAAGACACCCGTGCGCGCTGCGCGGTCGCCGTTCTGACTCACATGCCTGCGGACAGCGCCGACGGGTGGTGAGGAGGGCGGCGAGCCGGCGGGCACGGTGTGCGCGCGGTCGCCGCGCGCTGGTGGGCGACAGCTCACCGAGCGAGGAGCGAGGAGCAGGAGCTAGCTGGAGCGAGTCGGGATGCCCGGTCCCTCAAATCGCCAAGTCAAACAAGAATTTTACTATACAAGCCCCTCTCACAGCAGACTGGCTCGGACTGGCACTACAAGAAAAACCGCGCCGCTGGCCGACTCTCGGAAGTACGCTGTCTTCCGTGTCTAGGCGCACGCCCACGCCCTCAGCCTCGAACTGGCCCCGCTACCTGCCGCGCAAACTGGTTGGTGGGGGGGGGAGGCGGCGTCGCCGTCGGATCGTCGTAAGCAGTGCATGCAACTTTGGTCTTTGCGCCCAGAGCTCGTGGCGCGAGCAGATGCATGCGCGGTGCTGAGAACCTGGTTCTCCAGGAGGGGCAGGCCGCGAGGAGAGACCTCACACGAGCACTCAAGGCAGGGCCCCCAGGGGGTGCCGAGAGATCACACCGCCTTTTCGTGCTCCCTGGCTCCCTGCTCCCCCCTCGGTGCCCGGTGCACCCGACACACGGTGTCTCCTGAGACGCTTCCCTGTCCAAGTATAGTAAAATGTGATCTAGTATGCAAGTGCCATCTCAGAACAGCTGTGCATCTATAGATGCTTGTGGAACGCGTAACAAAAGACACGGCGCGGCTATCTCCAGGACAGCCATCGCATCCTAGAATGCCCTGTGTACCCGAGACACATGGTATCTTTGAGATGAAAAGTGCGTCCTAGAATGCGTTTTTGCATTCTAGGACGCATCGGTAAACAAAGATGGGGGGGTCGCCCCCCCAGACGTCTCTCTCGGCCCCGGGACCGACAGCAGATTTCGCCCACATGCTAAGCAACGAGTACGACGAGGTAAACGCCAAGGTCATACCAGGATCTCAGGCGGGATGGGAATCGGAACGAATGTGCGCAGAGATGATAGTGACGGTACGATTAATGATATGGAAGGGGCGAAGGTAGGCCCCTCTAGCATAGCGGAAGGGGAACTCGGCCTACTGGCGACGAGGAGGCTAGAGAAATTTGAGGTGTGTAGCATCTACACTGGGGAGATCTTCCGGACAGGAACGGCGCAGCCACCAGAGACAGTACCAGACGAACTATCACGACACACGGCAGCAGGGGGGACGCAGCTGGATGGAAGTGACGACGAGAGCGGGGACGACTTTGACAGCGTCGCGGCGCGCTGTAACTTCGACTGGCCTGCAGCATCGAATGAGCCGAAACGAGGCACGAGGGCGACGCACTTCGTACGCTACGAGGAGATACAATTAGGCAAGGCAGCTGCGCAGGTGATGGTCCTGTTTGCAGAGAGGGGAGTCAAGGAAGGCCAAGAAATCACATGGTCATATGGGGACTCATACAGGAGCCACCGCAAGAAGATGGGATACGGGGCGGGGACCAGGGCGGATCCGAACGCAATAACACCCCAGCAAGCGCGGACGGCATTCGCGAGATACTGCGAAACGATAGACGTGACGAAGGAGGAGCTAGCGTGGAACTTTGGATGCATATCGGCAAGCCAAAATAACGAGCAGGAGGCTGTCCTGGTGCGTGAGCTAATCCTGAGCAACAATAAGCGACTGTACCACGGAGCACAGAGCGCAGCAGACAGGACGGCGGCGACGGCGGACATGGCGGAGACGAGTGTGAAACAAAGGGCGGCGGGCATGGAGGGCGGTAGCGACGGGGATGGAGACGGTGACGGTGGCGAGGGAGAGGAAGGGGGTCCATTAACACCAGACAGCGAGAGGGGCAGGGAGGAAAGGGGGAGAGAGGAAGCCAACGCGACGTGCGCAGAGGATGAGGATATAAACTGGGACGACGCAGCGGAGGGGATAGGCGAGGGAATCGATCGGGGGAATGTTCTCTCGGCGCCCATGGCCTTGTTCTCAGGTTTCGTACTAATGACGTCCTTCTTGGCACTTCGGGCGTCGGTTGTGCGTATCTGTGTTGTGTCTAATTCCCCCGGTAATGTGTTATGGGTATCGGTCGCTGAGTGGACACTACCTCTAGACCATCATCTACTCTGCTTACTTCGGCCGTCGGCCGCTCGGTGGTCGAGTGGCTTCCGGATCGAATCGGCAGCTTTGACCCTTATAATTTTTTTCACACCTGAGCGGGCCCAATTTTGCTCAGGTGCACGCTTGGCGCTTGGTGTGCGTCCGTTTTTCGTCAACGGGTGGGACTGTGGTTGCAGGAGAGTACCACCACCCATCATTTTAGTTGGTATAGTACCCCACCTTCACGCAACCAGTGATTTCTTTGTTTAGTTTCCCATAAGTGGGTAGGTAGGTAGGTTACCTAAGGTAGGGGGCAGGGCGCACCGCAGGGGCCGGCCAGGTTTTTGCAGAATTTCATCATCAGGGCCGGCCACAAGCAACAAACAGATCAGAATACACCTGATTTTTGAGGAAAACTGGATGATTGGACGTAGGGTGGATGATTGGACGAAACACGTGCACACACAAGTAATATTCCACACCTCTACTCTACTGTAGTCAGACTGTACGCTCACCTGCGCGACGCGCGAGAGTTTTGCTGAATGGTCATGCGAGTTCCTTTGCGCTGCCGCGCCTGGCTGGGAGCGGCGGCGCCTTGGAGCGCTGCATCGTCGAGACCACGGCGCCGCCCCCTCTGCCGTCCCCGCTGCCGCCGCCCGCCGGGCTGAGCAGCAGCAGGGCCGCCGGGAGGGCAATGAGCGCATGCCACAGCCCGAGTAGCACGACTCCGCTGAGCATCACGTGGTACGTGGTCATGATGGCGGTCCCCGAGAAGGCGAGCAGGGAGACGGTGAGCGCCGTCGACACGCCACCCAGCGAGACTGAGGCGCCGCGGGCCGCGAGGGCCCTAGTGGCTCGCTGTTCGGGCGTGCCCTGCGCCTCCCAAAAGGCGTGCGCCACGTGTGTACAGTAGTCGATCGAGAGGCCGACCGCGAGGAGGAGGGGGACCACGGAGAGGGAGGAGAGCGGCACAGAGCAGAGCCGCATCCAGCCGGCGAGGAGGACCACCGACGAGAGGGCGCACGCCCCCATCGCGAGGGCGAAGGCGGGCTGGGCCGAGAGGAGGAGGGTGACCCCCAGCACAGAGATGAGGACGGCGCCGAGCGAGGCGAGCGTGTACCCCGCAATGGTGGCGTCCTGTTCACAGGCGGGGCTGTGAAAAGCGCCTCCCTCACAGCAGCTGCAGCGCTCCTCGAGGAAGCGCCTGTTCGAAGAAAACGTCAAAGTCCGAGTGCACGAAAGCGGCGCCGCCGAGGCCCAGCCCCTCGAGCGAGCCGCGCAGCGACAGCATCTCCCTCGCGCCGTATCCCTCAACGAGGAGCTGCACCACCGTCGCGATAGGCGCGCCGCCCCCCCCCTCGCGCACCACGCCACCGCTCGCCTCGACCGCCGCGCCGTCGCCGGACTCGCTGAACGCCCGCACCGCCCCCGGCGCGTAGGCGGCCGCATCGGGCGAGCCGCCCGCCCGCCGCCACGCCTCCGCCAGCTGGTCGGTCCACACGGGCGCGCAAACCGCCACGAAGGGCGAGCTGCGGACCGAGTGCCGCAGCCGGCGGAGCGCGCGAGAGAGGGTTGGCGAGAGGGGGATGCTGCCCCCGTCCGCAAAGGCGACGGAGGCCGCGCCGCGCCACGCCCTCGCCTCCGCCGCGGTCTCGGGCGCCGCGGCGGCGGCGGCGGTGGCGTTGCCCCCAAACGGCGGCGCGTGCTGCACGTACACAGAGACGGGAGAGGGCATCCCACGCGGCAGCGCGAGGGCGGAGCGCGACAGGAAGAGGTTCGTCGGTGCCGCCGGCGGCATCATGACGCGCAGGTTGACCCCGACGGGGAGGCGGAAGGCAGCGCCCGCAGAGAGGGAGAGGGCGGCCACGTGTAGGACGAGCGCAGCTGCGGCGGCCCAGCGCACCGCACGGCCATCACTCGCCGACGGGCAGCCGGGCTCGTCGCCTCCGCCAGCCTCTGCCCCGCCCGCCCCCCCCCCTCCGCCAACCTCTGCCCCGCCCGCCCCTCCCCCTCCGGCGAGCCGCCGCCCGCCGGCGCCGTCGAGCATGAGGCAAGGCGCCCACGCGCAGCGCTGCTGCCGCCGCCGCCGCTCGTCGATCGCGGCCGCCGCGACGAAGAAGGTGAGCTGCAGGCAGAGGTCGGCGACCATGCCCGCCGCCGAGTAGGTGCAGAAGCCTCGCAGCGCGGGGAGGGGCGAGTAAGCGGAGACGGCAAAAGCGATCGCCTAGGGGACATGTTGTCTCGAACCTGTCATGGACGTGTCTTGGACGCGAGGGGGCCAAGATGGCACAGAAGCGCGTTGGTGGTCGAGGAGAGGAGGATGGAAGGGCCCGCCGCCGCAAGTGCCGCGCCGATGTCCGCCTCGAGAGAGGCCTCGAGAGAGCTCGCGTCCGCCTGGGTCCACGAGGGGAACCTCTCCACTCCACGCCTCTCCACCCAAGTAGGCTGGGGAGGAGGCTGCGCCCGCTCGTGCTGCCGCTCCTTTTGCCGCGCAGCAAGGACGTCCTCGAGGGCTCGCACGAAGAGGAAAGCGTCGTCGACGCCGACGCCTATGGACATGACTCGGACGGTCACGGAAGTGTCTTGGACAGGTCCGACGGCGTCGTCGCCGCCGACGCCGAGCATGACGAAGAGAGCGACGCTGACCATCTCGTTGTACTTTACGCCCGCGCCGGCGCACACGCCAAACGCCGCGGCGGTCGCGAGCATGACGGAGCCGATGGCGGCGCCTCCGAGAGCGGGGCGGGCGCCGAGGCACGAGCGGTCGCGGGCGAGGAAGAGGCAGACGAACATCGAGGTGAGGCCGATCCCGACGGAGATGAGCAGCGCCGTGTCGGCGGTTGCCGACGCGATGTCGGCGTTGAAGACCGCGTTGGAGCGCACGCTGACCCGCACGTCCGCCACGCCCTGTCCGCCCGCCCCGCCGCCGCCCATGCCGCCGTCCAGAAGCAGGCTGCTCACCCGCATCTCCCAAGCGTCCACCTCGCTCTTCCTCGCGGGCGAGCCGTCGAGAAAGTAGTTTAGCAGGAGCGCGGAGAGCGCCGTGTCGTTGAGCGCCGTGTCGTTGCGCGGCAGCTCTGCCGCTCCACCCTGTAGGGGCGGCTGCGTCGCGAGCTGGCCACCGAGCAGCACCGCCGTGAAGCCGCCGTCAATCCCATCTGCGGCGACGGCCCGTGCCAGAGTGGCGGCGGGGTCCGGGTCGGCAAGCAGCCGCCGCCGGTCGTAGAGCCACAACTCGAGCGGCGACCAAACGCCGGACGAGGTTGGCGCGCCTGCGAGCGTGACCGCGCTCCGCCCCGGCGGCACCGCGGAGAGGGCCTCGTGGACAGAGAGGGAGGCGAGGAGCCCGTCGCGGAGCGGTAGAGGGGCTGCGGCGCCAGTGCCCCCGGGCTCCACAAGCACCTGCAGGAAGCGCGCGTCCGGCCGCCCCGTCAGCATCCTCACGCGGGCGGCATGCACCGCCGATGTCGACGCGTCGGGCAGCCAGAGCGAGAGCGGGTCGACCACAATCTGGACGCGCAGGAGGCCGCACCCGAAAAGCAGCGCGAGAGCCGCCGTGCTGCCCATCGTCGCCCACGGCTTGCGCGCGATGCACCTGCCGGCGCCAAAGAAGATCCGCTGCTGCCAAAGCAGCAGCGCCGGCGTCGGCGTCGGCGTCCGCGGCCGGCAGCGCAGCGCGAGGACGAGGAGCGCCGCGGCGGCGACGCTGGCGGCGACAGCGGCGGAGCCGAGGCCGCGAGGGCCGACCACCTCACGGGAGCACTCTGCCGCGTCGCCACCGCACTCACCGCACGCGTCGAAGGACAGGCCGCCAACGCCGCAGGCGCACTCGCCGGCGCCGTCTCCGGCCGCCGATGCGCCGCCGTCGCCGTTGCACACGCCGCACGCATCGCGCTCGGCGGCGGCGAAGACGCCAGCGGCGCACACGCCGCACGACGGCTCCTCCAGCAGGAAGGGAAGCTCGGCGGCGGGAGAAGCGCACATGGGGAGGGGCGGCGGCGGCGGCAAAGGCGACAAAGGCGGCGGACGAGGCGACGAGGCTGGGGGCGACCAGAGAGACGCCGCGGCGAGATCCCACGGCGCGGATCCGGCGCCCCACGGCGCAGCGGCATCCCACGGGGCTGGGAGGGCGGAGGAGGAGGCCACGGCGGTGTCCCACGGGGCTGGGAGGTCCCACAGAGGGGCGGGAGTGGCCTCCAGCGGTGCGGCCTCCGAGGCGGAGGAGGAGCAGACTCCCGCGGCGGGCGAATCTGCGACCGCGCACGATGGCCAGGCCACCGCCGGGTATCTGGCGCAGTCGAGCCGCACGAGCGCCTCGGGAGGAAAGTGGTCGAGCACTTCGCTGCAGGCGGCACGCACGTCTTCACAGACGGAGGCGCAGGGCGGCAGAGGAGCGCCGAAGGCACAGCTGGCGCCGGAGACGGAGCAAAAGAGGTCCTGCAGGCCGCTCAGGCACGACGGCTGAAAGGCCTGCAGCAAGAGCGTCGGCAGCAACCTGAGGTTGGCGGAGACGAATGCTGCGGACTGCGCCACAGCAGAACTGTTGTCGACGACGAGCCGGATGCCCGGACACTTTGGCAGCTGAGCTGGCCAGGGTGAGGCGCAGCCGGCGACAAGCGCCGCATGGGATGGGCCGCAGCCAGGAGTTGTTGCCATCAACAGCGGCGCTCCCTACAGCAGGAGCGGGGAGAACCGTCAGAGGAGCTTCACAATGATAGGGACTCGCTCCGCGCGCGGAAGGAAGTCCGCACCCCTCCCAGAGCTCTACCTCAAGAATTCTACCTAGGTTGGACAGGCAAAAACGTTTGGAAAACATGCGCGACGCTACCTCTTTGCGCCGCTCGCTCGCGGCGGCGGGAAAAAGCCGCCGATGCGGCTCGCACTCGCTCGGCGGGTATGGTGCAGATGCTCTCTATGCAGACTGTGTGCTGTATGCCACATGTCTCGCCAAAAGCGGCGGGGGCACGCACGCGCAGCACACTCAGGGGAGGGACTTCAGCACACTCCAGCCGTGGGGCTAGCACGCAACAGACAACGGCGACTACATCAAGACGGCGAAAGCCTTCATCCGCGCCGCCGTCAGCGGAGCCAGCGCCTCCCACGCATCCAGCGCCGGGTCGTACCGCTCGACCGAGCTGAGGCGGTTGTGGCCGGTACCCAATCCGCCTGCGACATAGAGCTTGCCGTCGAGCACAACCGTGGCGTGAGAGTCCCGTGCCGCCGCCATCGGCGCCACCGCCTCCCACGCACCCAACGCCGGGTCGTACCGCTCGACTAAGCTGAAGTACCTGGGGTGGCCGATGATGTAGCCTCCCATAGCGTACAGCTTGCCGTCGAGCACCGCCACGGCGGGAGACTCTCGCGCCGCCGCCATCGGCGCCACCGCCTCCCACGCGTTCGTCGCAGGGTCGTACCGCTCGACCGAGCTGAGGTGGCCGTCGTCGTCGTTGCGGCCTCCCACAGCGTACAGCTTGCCACCCAGCACCGCAACACCATAGTCGCACCGCGCCGACGCCATCGGCGCCACCGCCTCCCACGCACCCACCGCCGGATCGTACCGCTCGACTGAGCTGAGGCTGCCGTTGTTGTACCCGCCAACAGCATACAACTTGCCATCGAGCACCGCCATGGCGTGGTTCTCGCGTGCCGCCGCCATCGGCGCCACTTCCTCCCACGACTTCGTAGCCAGGTCGTACCGCTCCACCGAGCTGGAAGTTGCGCCGTCGGCCTCATCCTCGCCATCCTCATCCTCATCCTCGCCGTCAGCCTCGCTGTATCCGCCCGCCGCGTAGAGCTTGCCATCGAGTACCGCCATGCGGACATACTTTCGTGTCGAAGGCATCGGCGCCACAGCCTCCTCCTCCCACTCATTCGTGGACGGGTCGTACCGCTCCAGTGAGTTGACAAGCTCGCCATCGCCGCCTTCGCCGCCGACCACGACCAGGCGCGGCCTCTCGCGCTTCTTCAGCGTCTCCTTCCAGCCGCGGCGCCACGCGCGGCACGTCCCCTTGGCGGCGTGCTCCTTGGTCGGCAGCTGGGCGAGGATGTGCGGGGCGAGGTCCGGCGAGAGGAGGACCTCGGAGAGGATCCACTCGGGCTGCTCCACGAGCTGTGCGGCGTGCTCCTCCGCCACGCGCAGCGCGGCGTCGCTCGCGCCCGCCTGCGCCTCGATGATGGCGCACAGCTGCTCTGGCGAGAGGCCCGCGACGCGCGCGCCGATGCGGTGTGAGGCCATGGGAGGATTCCGGGTTCTTTTTATTGGAGTAGCGCCAGAGCGCGCCAGTCCCGTGCCCAGTGTTTGTCGTAAAATTCTTTTTCTTCGTCCTCTGGCGGCGAGGAGGGAGAGGGAGGGGGGGGGGGGTATGGGGGCGAGGGCATGGAGGGGGAGAGGAAGAGCAAGGGCGAGAGAGGGCAAGGGACCGGGCGCTCTTCTTCTTTGAGTTCGAGGGCCAGCCAGATTGGCGAGTGTTTTTGAGTTTGTGTTGCGATTGGTACAAGAAGAAGCCCCTCGCGGATTCCTCTTGCTCGCGTTAAGATGGCCACGCTCCAGGCGTCGTGCCGGGCGCAAGCGGGCCATTGCCAAGCGAGTGGGTGGAGCGAGCCGGGTCCTTCCGAGGAATGTTCCTTCACCTCGTATGTACCCCTCGCCGCCACGCCGCGCCGCCCCCCGATGATTAATAATTAATATTTATTATCAATTACTAACTAATAAATAAGTAATTACACCACCCAGCTGGACCCTCACTGCGCCGACTGAATACCTCTCCCCGGTGTGTGTGTGTGTGTGTGTGTGTGTGTGTGTGTGTGATCCAGCTCCGCCGTCCACGCCCCTCGCACCTATGACTCGACCAGTGTGAAGGTGAAGAGATGACACCGAGCGTGCGGGCAGCTGGCGGGCGGGAGGGGCAGCAGGAGCAGCATCATTGTCATCATCAGCAGCAGAGGAGCAGCGCCGCCGCGTCGCCGCCGCCGTCCGCGCGCCGCCGCCACCGTCCGCGCGCCGCCGCCAGGCCCGTGTGCTGCTGCAGCCGCCTCCGCCGCCGCCGCCCGCCTCCGCAGTGCCCTCGCGCCCGCGGACAAAACCAGTCATATATCATGAGCTGGTTTTCCAGAGCGTACAAGACCTGCATCACTCCATGGCACGATCGGCCGGCGTTCCAACCAGCGCTCTTATGCTGCCGGTTCGAACCCCGGCCTTCGTGTCCTCGCGGAGCGACGCGGATCGCGCGCGTGTGCGACTGCGACAAGACGAGAAGCAGAAGCGAACGTCGATGTTTTTGCTGCCGCGGCCGCGCCGCGACCTCCCGTTTGTTTTGGCGCCGATGCAGCGCCGTAGTCTCTCGCCGCGCGAGATGGCGCCGCCTGAGGGAGGGTGTAGAGGATGTAGAGTGTAGAGCGCTGTAGAGCTGTAGAGCTGTAGAGCTCTACATCCGCCGCGGGACGAGGCGGGTGCGTTGTAGAGCGATGTAGAGCGCGATTTTGTTGTAGAGTTTGTTGTAGAGGCTCTACAGCCAAACCGCCGGGAAGGCAGTGACTCAAAGAGGTCGAGTCGCACTAATGGGGTGTCTCCGAGCTTACTGGAGCTCTGATGGACGGCCCTGACTATCCCTGACACACAGAGAGTCACTCTGACGGCACACAACACCCTATAACTGCGTCATGACCAGCCTGCCATGCGTCGCCGGTGCCGCATTCGTCGCTGTGCTTCTTTAGCAGGCGGTGGACTGTCGGCTGCGAGGACGGTCGCATTTGCGCAAGGCGAGGCGAGCATTCAGACGCGTTGCATGCGCCATGACTCGCGCCAGCGCGTGCGGGAGCTCCTGGCTGAGCGTTGAGTCCAGGCGAGTTGCGCTGGCCACTATCGCTACGCCGAGCCGAGCTGACGCGCCGAGGCGCCGGCCAGTCGCAGCCGTGAGGCATACCACAGCAGCAGAGGCACCTGCCACCCATTGGGCGGGCAGGCAGAAGGCCAGGGCAGCACTGGCAAATGCAACGCGCCTAATGTCGGAGAGCGACCGTGCCTCGTTCGCCGCTTATCATGCAGAGTTTGTTGTGGAGATTTCACGTTGTAGAGCGCCTCTACATCGCTCTACAACGCACCCGCCTCGTCCCGCGGCGGATGTAGAGCTCTACAGCTCTACAGCGCTCCAGAGCGCTCTACATCTCTACAGCTCTACAGCGCTCTACACTCTACATCCTCTACACCCTCCCTCAGGGCGCCGCCGCGGCGTCGGCGCCGCGATCAACCGCGCTCCAGCAGCGAGCGGTGCAGGGCGGCTACCGACATGACAGTTGGCGACGGCGTCTAAAGAAAGAAAGAAAGAAAACAGACAACCCAAGGGAGGGATGGGAGGACGGCACGCCGCCACCACACAGGGATTTTAAGGAGAGGTGTGTGGTGCGCTAGCCGTCGCCCACCCTAGGGAGTCTGCCTCTTCCTATCTCTCTTCGCAGTCTCTCTCCGATTCTCGCTGCAACCTTCATGCCACCTCGCGGTCGTCCCACTCTCGTCGTTCTCTCCCTTGTCATTTCCTCCTCTGTCGCGTCGTTCCCTTCTTCCTCGTCCTGTGACGCCGCCGCCTGCCGGTCCCTTGTTCTCGCGGCTTCTTTCGCCTTTCGGCGCAACTCCGTCCTCCTCGCACGATGGCGTCTAGCTCAAGGCGTTCACCGACTCGTTTTCTTGTCTATCGCCTTCCATCTCGTGTCGCCTGCAGCGTCGCCGCGCACTGCTCGCATGGTTGTCAGAAGCACGGTGATGCTGCTAGTCGCGTCCTCCAGCGGTGCGGCGGCGGTCGCGCTCGGGTCTCGGCCGGCTCCCTCCTCAGCAGCGCGGCGCGGCGGCGCGCTGCAGATGGAGGCGGGCGAAACAGTGCTCGACGTGTCTGACCTGTGCGCGGCTGTGGGCGAGACGCCCATCCTGAAGGGAGTGAACCTGAAGGTGCGCAAGGGCGAGGTGCACGCCATTATGGGGCCCAACGGCTCGGGCAAGTCCACCCTCTCGAAGGTCATCGTCGGACACCCAGCTTACGAGGCGCGGCCGCCCGACCGCCCGCGCCGCCCGCACCGCCGCCGCGGCCGCCCGATCCGTGCGGCCCACCCTGCCTCCATCTCCTCCGCAAGGTGACGGGCGGCTCGGCCCTCTTCGAGGGTGACTGCCCGCTGCGGGAGGCGGCGCGAGATTCGGTCGAGGTGTGACGCGAGGTGCGCGGAGGTAGGCGAGGACCTGCTCGAGCTCGAGCCGGAGGAGAGGGCGCAGCAGGGCGTCTTCCTCGCCTTCCAGTACCCCGTCGAGATCCCGGGCGTCGCAAACAACGACTTTCTCCGCCTCGCCGTCAACAAGCGCCGCCAGGCTTGCCCGCCCGCCGCGAGAGAGACGGAGGGGGCGGAGGAGGGGAGGAGGGGCGGCGTGTGTGTGCGTGTGTGTGTGCGAGTCCTCGACTCGCCTTTGCCACGGCGCGCAGGCGCAGGGCCTGGACGAGTACGACCCGATCGAGTTCTTCGGCGTCTTGAGCGAGAAGATGAGCCAGGCGCGCGCCACCCGGCCGCAGGGCCATGTCCACGACACGTCCCCGACACGTCCCCGCGAGACGCGTCCCCGACACGTCCCCGACACGTCCCCGACACGCGCCGCCAGGTCTCGATGAGCCCCGACTTCCTCGGCCGCGACGTCAACAGCGGCTTCTCGGGCGGCGAGAAGAAGAGGAACGAGATCCTGCAGCTGGCTCTCCTCGAGCCTTCCCTCGCAATCCTCGATGAGGCGCGAGCCCTGCACACATCAGAGCCGTCCACACATCAGACGCGGAGGCGCTCGTCGAGGCGTGCAGCTCCCCCTCCCCTCCCCCCTCTCCAGACCGACTCTGGTCTCGACATCGACGCGCTCAAGACGGTGGCCGCGGGAGTCAACGCCTACAGGGGCGAGGGCAACGGGATCGTCCTCATCACGTGCGAGATCCACCCGAGATCTACCCGAGATCTACCCGAGATCCACCCGAGATCTGCCCGAGATCTACCCGAGATGCACCCCTCCCTCGCCCGCCTCGCCTCCGCCCCTCGCCCTCGCCGCCGGCCCGCCCGCCCGCCCCTGCCGCCCGCCCGCCCCTGCCGCCCGCCCGCCCCTGCCGCCCGCCCGCCCCTGCCGCCCGCCCGCCCCTGCCGCCCGCCCGCCCCTGCCGCCCGCCCGCCCCTGCCGCCCGCCCGCCCCTGCCGCCCGCCCGCCCCTGCCGGACCTTTGCGAGAGCCCGCCTTTGCGAGAGCAGCTCCGGAGAGCCTGCGCGTGCCCTCGCCCTCCCCGCAGGCACTACCAGCGGCTGCTCGACTACATCAAGCCCGACTTCGTGCACGTGATGTCTGACGGGGAGATCGTCCGCTCGGGCGCCAGACTAGCCGAGAGGACCCGAGATGACCCGAGATGGCCCGAGATGGCCCGAGATGACCCGAGATGACCCGAGGACGACGCGCCACAGCGGGCCGGAGCCAACCCACGTTTCACCAAGCCCAAGATGCAGATGGCGCGAGATGAGCCGAGGTGGTCCGAGGTGTAGGCGGGCCGGAGCTCGCCCTCGAGCTCGAGAGCGACGGCTACGCCTTCCTCGACGCGGGCGCGCGCTCAGACGCCTGAGCGAGGGCGACGCAGCCGCGACTGCGCGCCGGAAGCGGGACGCCGCGCTGCGGCTGGAGCCCTCTGGCTCTTCGCGCTGCCCGTCCTCTCCTCTCCCTTCCGGCGCTTCGCCCGCGGCCGTGCCGAGCAGCTACGTCGCGCCTCTGACTCTCGGATAGCGCACTGCGCAGCGGACAGTGGTATCAGAAGTCTCAACTTGCACACACTAGCACCAGCCACCACAGTGACTCGCCGTGTGCGCGACTTTTTCCATTTTCGGCGGCTTTCAGTCGCGCTACGGCTTCGTTTATGGGGGCCATACTTGCCACTCGCGTGTCGTGTGAATTTTGGGTCGCGCTCGCGGCGAGCGCCGTGTCTCCGCCGAAAGGCGAGACGCGATCGAGACAGGCGCGAGGCGGCGATCGGAGATTCGCGAACACATACATAGAAGCGACGGCATGAAGACCGCGGCAGGGCAGGGGTCCGGACGCAATGTGACTCGAGGGCGAGAGGCAGAGAGGGAGAGGGAGAGGGAGAGAGGGAGGGGGCGTCTAGCGGAGAGGTCAACAATGCACAAGAGAGAGAGAGAGGTCGAGAGAAGGGGCGGAGGCGCCCCGCCCCGCAGCCTGCGGGATAGCAAAGCCTGCGGTCTCGGCGAGGCTTCCGCTCCCTCCCTCGCGCCGCTTTGTCCCCTAGACCGCGCACAGCTTGAGCACGTCTGCGATGAGGTCGTCCCACGCCTCCTCCTCCCGCACCTGCCCACGGCGGAGCCACCGCTGAGCTCGGGGCGATCCGAGGCGGTTGCGATCTCGGCTGCCCCCCGGCTGCCCCTCGCCTTGTCCGTGTCGAGCAGCGCCTCGGGAAATCTCGGGTAATCTCGGGTAATCTCGGGTCATCTCGCCTTGTCCGGGTCGAGGAGCGCCTCGGGTAATCTCGGGTACTCTCGGGTAATCTCGGGTCATCTCGCCTTGTCCGGGTCGAGGAGCGCCTCGGCGCACACCTTGAGCTTCTCGAGCTTCTCGTCCTTCTTCTTTGTGAACTTCTCCACGCCGCTCCGCTCCAGGAACTGGTCGAGCTGGTACTCGCCTGCGGGGTCAGGGTCAGGGTCAGGGTCAGGGTCGGTGGTCAGGGTCGGTGGTCAGGGTCGGTGGTCAGGGTCAGGGTCAGGGTCAGGGTCAGGGTCAGGGTCAGGGTCAGGGTCGGTGGTCAGGGTCGGTGGTCAGGGTCGGTGGTCAGGGTCAGGGTCAGGGTCAGGGTCAGGGTCGGTGGTCAGGGTCGGTGGTCAGGGTCGGTGGTCAGGGTCAGGGTCAGGGTCAGGGTCAGGGTCAGGGTCGGTGGTCAGGGTCAGGGTCAGGGTCAGGGTCAGGGTCAGGGTCAGGGTCAGGGTCAGGGGTCAGGGTCAGGGTCGGTGGTCAGGGTCAGGGTCAGGGTCAGGGTCAGTGGTCAGGGTCAGGGTCAGGGTCAGGGTCGGTGGTCAGGGTCAGGGTCAGGGTCAGGGTCAGGGTCAGGGTCAGGGATAGGGTCAGGGTCAGGGTCGGTGGTCAGGGTCAGGGTCCCTCTCCCGCGGTCGAGCAGGAGGCCAGGAGGGGTCTGCCGGGACACTGTCTACCGGGAGGGGGGTCTCCGGGAGGTGTGTGCTGCCCCGGGGGGAGGAGTCTGCGAGGCGTCTCGGCACTGTCTCGAGCTCGCACCGAGCCGCTCCACCACGTCGAGAGGCGTGCCTAGACAAGAGCACCACTCCGCCGGTGACTCGGCGACTCGCTCCTAGCCTCCTCCCCTCACGCACGAGGCGCCCTGGTCCCCGACCGCTGTGTGGTCTGCTCCGGCCGCGATGAGGACGCGCAAGCACTGCGCGTTGGCGTAGCCCGCCGCCATGTGCACCTGCGGAGGGCGGGGGCTCCGAGTGGACCATCTACCCTTTCGGACCACCTGCCACCACCTGCCGCCACCTGCCGCCACCTGCCGCCACCTGCCCCGTCCGCCCTGCAGAGGCACACTCACACCCCGAACCCGAACCCTAACACACTCGCCGGCGCGAGGTTCGCCCTGTGTAATTCAGGCTGCCCCTGCACTCACCGGCGCGAGGCCCGCGTTGTCCCTCGCGTCGATATGTGTGTATCTATGTATCTATTTCACCGGCGCGAGGCCCGCGTTGTCCCTCGCGTCGACGTCGGCCCCAAAGTGGATGAGCAGCACGCAAGCGGGGGCGAGGCCGATGCCGCACATGAAGTGGAGGCCGGTCCGCCCGTTGGGGTCGCGGAGGTTCGGGTTCGCTCCGGCGAGGAGCGCGTCCAGCAGCTGCGTGCCTGCGCACAGCCACGCAGACACCGGCGCGTGGGGAGAGGCCGGGCGGGCGTGGCGGGCGAAATGGGCAGAGAGCGGGTGGCGGCGGGCGGAGGCGGTCGGCAATGCGGGCGGCGCGCACAGTTGGCGTTCTGCGTCGCCTCGAAGAGCGCCTCCTCCTCGGGCGAGCGCTTCGGTATCGGCGGGCCGGCGGGCTCCGGCGCAGGCGCAGCAGGCTTCTTCACCGCGTTCACCTTGATGGACACGGTCGCATCTGCGGGCGGCGCGGCGGCGGCGCGGGTCGGGAATAGCAGGCGTGGTCGCGGCCGCGGACGGAGAGCGCGCACCGTCGGCAACGATTTCCGGCGCCGCCGGCGCCGCTCCTTCGCCCGGCTTCTTGACGCGGATTGCAATTTTGGTCTCGGGCTCGGGCGGCTTGACGACGACGCTGACGTCGTCGGCCTCGTCGCGGAGCAAAGCGGGACGCGCGCGCGTCGCGGCAGGGGCGTGCGGCAGCCGAAGGATCGGCTGCAGGGCGGAGACAGTGGCGAGCGAGGCCAGGGCAAGCAGCCAGCTCGAGCAAGAGGTCGTCATCCCGTTCGCAGGCAAAAGAATTTTCATCGGGGTTACGAACATACCCGTAGGTGAACTGCTGACAGGGTTTGCGATGAGGAGCGATCCGAACGTGGTATTTTGGATGCAGCACACGGGGCTAACCTTGGATTGTCGGCTTTCTTTCTTTCTTTCTTGGGCTAAGAGACGCCGTTGGACCACCCCGCTTTTGATGGTGCGCGCCTCCGCCCTGCCCGTGGCAAAAGAAAGTCACCCGCCAATTACTCCTTCCCCGAACCGCCGCCCTCCCGCCTTCCGCCCTCCGCCTTCGCCATCCCCATCTGTGCATTCCAACTCCCTCCCCTCCGCATATATTGCGGACTGAATTGTAATAACCGAAAAACGTTCGTCCGCTCGTTCGCGCTCCGCAACGCGCCGCGTCTTCCGGCGCGACGATGGAGACCGAAAAGCAGGTTCTGCTCTCGCCCTCCTCCGCCCTCGAGCCTGTTGGCCCTGCCAAGACGCACTAGTGATGAGCCCCCCACGTCGAACTTACTTCCCGACTTGGCCGACTCTATCCCTTCGAACCGCAAGGGTGGGAGATTTGAATTTGAAGTTGAATTTAAGTTGAGTTGCGCCGTGTCTCGGCGCCAGGCGATGAAGTTGTTGATGGACGGCTGGTTTCCTGGCGGCCTTCCTGGAGGCCGTGCTGATGCAGAGGGGCCGGTGAGCGCGAAATGGCAGGCGCCGTTGATGGAGATGGTGTCGGGCAGCGGCACGTCGATGGAGATGGCGTCGGGCAGCGGCATGCTCACAATGCAACAGGCGCTAGTGCTGATGGCGGATGCCTCGGGAAAGGCCGGGGCGATGAGCCAGGACATGGTTGCGGACTTAATCCACACACACGCCAAGAAGGGCTGTCTCGTCACCTATAGAGGCGGGGGACGGATCTTACAAGGTCGCGGCCATGGTCTCCGCCGACCCACACGCCACAACGACCCCTGGAATTGCGACTCGCCGCTTTCCTCCCGCTGTGATTCTGTCTGTGTGAGCTCTGTGTCTTGATTTGCCAACAATGTACCTACAATCAAAGGGACTGCGGCAGAAGACGCCCAATCTTGCACAAGTGCAAGAAAAACACCACCGAAGGACCGCTCGCAATGGACCATTGGGTTTGGACATTGAGGGCGAGACGATCGAGGGGTCCCGTACCATGCGGAATCGACCCTATCCAGTGCTCAAGTGCTCAACAACGAAGGCGCTCTCAGAAATAAAAAAAGCCACTGGAATTTCCCATGTTGCTCACGCTGCCTCGCGCCACGCGCTTCGCTGCGCCTCCCTGCTTGTCCCGCTCGCTCGCCACTCGCCGCCGCAGCCGCCCTCCCGTGACGAACGACGAGGCTGTGCGCGTGCTGCAGCGCCTCGCCTCGTCGCCCGCCTCGCCCGCCGCCCGGACCGGGCTGGCCGACTGCCTCGAGCGGCTCGCAGAGGTGCATGCACAGCCACCGCCTAGCTCCCTGCCGCCCGTTCGAGCGGCGGCCCCGCCGGATGCGTCGCCGTCTTGCCAGTCGCCGCACCTCCCGCTCCAAATCCGCTCGCACCGCTCCGCGACCGCTCGGCTCCGCCGCTCCCGCCACCCGCCCAGCCGTGCCTTCCAGCTCTCAACCCTCCCCTGCCCGCACCGAACCCCCCTGCCCGCGGCCCGCAGAACAAGCAGAGCGACCTGGCGTGGCGGCTGTACACCCGGCTCGACGCGGCGGGCTCGGCCTCCCTCGCCAAGCCCGAGTACACCGCCTTTCTCCACGCCGTCGGCTCGATTGGCGTCGCGCCGCTGGCCGCTCGCGCAGGCGCCGGATCGAGGCGGCGCGCGAGGCTGACCCCCGACCCTGGCCCCTGACCCTGAACCCCTGGCCCCTGACCGCAGGCCGGATCGAGGCGGACATGAGGGCGGCGGGCGAGGACGACCCCCTCTGCGAGTGGCAGCTCTGCGTGCTGCTGCAGGCGGCGGCAAGCGCAGGGCCGCTCCGAGGCCGACCCGAGATGAGCCGCTATGGAACCAGAGTAGGCGGCGGCCAACGCCGGCCGCTTCGACGACGCGCGCGCCGCGTACGAGGGCGCGTGCGCCGCCGCCGCCTCCGCGGGCACGCCTCTCTCTCCAAAGGCGTGGCCGGCTGCCACCGGGCGTGATCTCGCGCAGCCTCGCGCAACCTCGGCCCATCTCTCTCCAGGTGGCTCGCTTCTACGTGGCTGCCTGCGCGCGTGCCTCCGAGCCGGAGCGGGCGCTGCAGGCCCTGCAGCAGCGCTTCCCCCGCCCGACCTCGCCGGGGGACTGAGCGAGCGACGACCCTCTTCTCTCTCTCTCTCTCTCTCTCTCTCCGCAGGCCTTCGAGCGGCACCTCGCCTCCGACCTCGCCTCCCCCGGCCGCGGCCAGGCGCGGCACGACCCTCGCCGAGGCACCGTGTCGGAGGGCGCGTCCACGACACGTCCACGACACGCACCGCAGGCCCGCCCCGCCCTCACCGCGCTGATGAACGCCTTTGCGCGGCGCGGAGACCTCGCGACGCTCGCGGCGCTGCAGCGGCGGGCGGACGAGGCGGGCGTCCCCCTCTACACCGAGCGAGTCAACGCGATGCTGCTCGGCTGCCGCGAGGTTGGCGACGCGGCGGAGGCGGTGCGGCAGTACGAGGCGGGCCAAGGGCTAGCTCGGCCTCGACATGTCCTGTGCATGTGCATGTCCCCGACACGTCCGCGACATGCCCCCGCCAGGCGTGCCGCTCGCCGGGCGGGCCGCTGCCAGACTCGGCCACGCGCAAAGCCGCTCCTCGCCCGCCTAGTTGCTGGCGGGTGACGGGCCGGCTTGCCTCCTCACTAGGTGACCGTCAAGCTGCTGCTCGACGCGTGCGAGCGAGGAGGCGCCATCCACACGGCGCTCGACCTGTACGAGGCGGCGGCCGGGGGAGGGGGCGGCGGGGAGGGGGAGGGCGGAGGCGAAAGGGGAGGAGGAGAGGGCGGCGGCAGCCTCGAGGTCGACGCGCTGACCCGCAACTCGCTCATCCGGCACTACTTGCGGGCGGGGCGGCCAGAGGGCGCGTTCCGCGTCTTTTCGGAGGCGCGGCGGCGGGGCCAGACGCCGCCCGCCAACCTCAAGGTGCTGGCCGCGCTGGCGGAGGGGTGCTCGGCGGCGAGCGAGGTAGCGGAGACGGAGGAGGAGGGGCGGAGGTGGATGGGGCGCGCCCTCGAGCTGTACGCCGCGAGCGAGGCGCTCCTCGCCGCCCGCGCCGACCTGGCGTACGAGAGCGAGCAGGGGGGAGGCGCGGGGCGGCCGGGAGCGGGGCGGCCGAGCCGGGGGAGCGGCGGCGGGAGGGGGCGGTAGCGTTAGGGTTAGGTCGGGAAGACTTGGGGGACCACGATGGGAACGGCACGCCACCACACATTGCACATTGGAGAGTGTGGTGGCTGCTACGTTAGCCGTCTCCCCAATTACATGTTTAGGAATCCTAGCGCGTATAGCGGGCGTCCGTCCCTCGGGCGTCGGAAAGGAAAACAGAAAATTAGGAGGGGCCAGCGGACGCGCACACCTCGCCGCGCCGCTCGGGGCACCGCACTACACAGTGGGATATTTCAAGGAAAGGAAGTGGCGTACATCGAATTCTTCTTTCGAATGGTGTACCTGTGTTAGTGCCAGTGCGCGCCAGTCGCGTGCCGAGGGCGGCGTCAGTGAGAGAGAGAGAGAGAATTCTTGATACGAAACCACGACGACACACACCAGTCGACTCGCATCGGTTGCCTCCATGAACGGCGGAGCTATTCTCGCGCCCACACCACACCTGGCTCCAACGTGGACACGCCCATAGCTGGGGACACTACTAGGTCACGCATGGCATCACAGAAGTTTTATCTCTGGGCCCCGAAAGGCATCTCTAGCAGTGTCGTTACACATGCGCCCTCCCCTCCTGGGCGCATGCGCCTCACGTCTCGCCAGAGCATAAGCCCTTGGCGTGTGGCGAGACGAGTTTTTCGCCATGCAGCGAGCAGCAAGCCGCCCGCCGCAAACGGCCGGAGGCATCGCCGCAGCGCTGTCTGCGCCGCGGTCCCGCACCCGTCGACGCAGCTCCCCCCGCGGAAGACCGCGCGTAGCGACGCCTTCACGATCGAGATGAGCGCGCTCGAGGCTCGCCCACCTACTGCCCCTGAGAGTTGGTTATGAGTGGGCTCGGCTCCCCCCCTTGGGATCGAAGCTTCCACGACCTCACACCCAACACCACAGGTGGGATCAGAGAGAGACTCCGCACCGGACACCGCCCGGGCACAGACTCCCTACCCATCGGATTGCACAGGGCCCCCTCGGAGCAGCCCACACACAATCACGCATCGGCAGATTGAGTGCCTGAGTCAGGCAGACAGCAGACAAGGATGAGAGAGGAGAGAGAGAGAGAGAGGAGAGAGGAGAGGGTGAGGGTGTGTGCACACGTGTGGAGAGGGAGTGTGTCTGTGGTGGGCTGTAGTCCTACTACGTGGTTAGAACCACGCGCCCCTCAGGAGCTTAAGGTAGAGCTGAGCGTCCCAGACGCCTCGGTGCCATCCACCGGGTGAGACCATCCGGATCTACCGGGCGCGCCTCCGGCGGGCCCGTCCCCGCGATGGCCCACGGTCCTCCGTCGCCAGGTCGAACCCCCTGCCTCCCGGTTGACCCCCCGGTCCCCGTACACGACCATGAAATAAACTCAAAGTCCACCACAGCCACCAGCCTCCACCTCCACCGTCGAGCCGCCACCGCTGCCGCCCGCGACGCCGCCCGCCGCGTCAGATAGCCGCGACGCGCGCATCGAGTCGCGTCGGAGAGCCGCGCCGCACCAGCAGCAGCACCTGCACCACCAGCAGCAGCAGCAGCACCACCACCACCACCCGAGAGAGAAGCGCACCTGCCCGACGCCGCCCGCCGCGTCAGACGCTCGCGACGCGCGCGTCGAGCCCAGTCGCACAGCCGCGCCGCGCCAGCAGCAGCATCGGCACCAGCAGCAGCAGCACCACCACCACCAGCAGCAACAGAAACAGGCAGTGCAGGCGCAGAGGCGCTCGCAGAGCGGCGCTCAGCGCCGCGCACGCCACGCCGCGGACCGTCGGACGAGCGCACCGTACGTCGGCGGCGAGCCGCGTCGCCAGCCGTCTCGCGAGAGAGCGGCGCCGCCGCGTGCGCGCAGCAGCCACCGCGGCAGAGGCGAGCCGCGGCGACGTCCGCACTAACGGATAACGGCCATTCACCAAATTGCTCTCTCTCTCTCTCTCTCTCTCGGCGTCAGTGTAAAATTCTTGTTTCCCTTTTGGGCGCGGGAATTGAGCGAGTTACCGCGACGAGCGAAGTCGTTGGGTGCCAAGTCATCAAAAATGCCCGCGGACCCTCTGCTCCGCGCGGAGGTCTGCCAGGTCTACACTTCCGGCGAGCAGTATGGTCGCGTCACCGAGCTCGAGGACGGACAGTATGTCGTCGAGTGGTCCGACGGGTGCGCGCTGCCCGCCACTGCGAGCGCGAGTCGCCGAGCGCCCTAGCTTCACCGCAGCGCCTTCGCGCGCTCGGCGCGCGGCGCGACCCGCCCCGCGCGCGCCGCGCAGGGAGCCCGGCCTGTACTCGCGCAAGAAGGTCGAGGATATGGTCGAGGTCGCCAAGCAGGCAAAGGCGCGGGCAAAGAGCCCGCCCGTCGCAGCCGACACAAAGGGCAAGGCGCGCTCCACCCCATTCGAGTCGCGGCGCGGCGTGCTGTCCGCTCCGCACCCCGCGCTTCCCCTCCGCGCAGGCGGAGAGCAGCTCCAAGACCCTCGGCACCGCGAGCAAGAAGCGGCGCGTCGACAAGGCGGCGCCGTCGCCCGCAGCGCAGGCGACAAAGCAGCGAGACGCTGCGCGCCGCGTCGCACGCGCGGCCTTGCCCACTCACCAGGGCGCGTCCTCTCCCTCTCTGTGCGCAGGGCGCGGCCGGCGCCGCTGCCTCTGGCCGCAAGGGCGGCGCTGCGGACGTCTCGAGCGACGACTTTGAAGAGAAGCCGCGCGTCGGCGGCCGGGCGGCGCGAGGGCGGCGGGCGGCGCCGGTGAGCTCCGAGGAGGAGGAGGAGGAGAGCGAGGAGGAGGAGAGCGAGGAGGAGGAGAGCGAGGATGACGAGTCCGCCTCCGCCTCCGACTCTCCCCAGTCCGAGTCCGAGTCCGAGTCCGAGGAGGCGGGCCGCAGAGGGGGGGGAGAGGTGGGGGGCACATCAGAGCTCGCACCAAACTCGCGCCGCCTTGCCAGGCGCCGAAGAAGAAGAAGGGGCCGCCCAAGAAGAAGCCCGCCGCCAAGCCCGCCGCCAAGCCCAAGCCCGCCGCCGCCAAGCCGCCCGCCGCCAAGAAGGCGCCCGCGCCTGGCCCCCACGATGCCGGGACGTGTCCACGACATGTCTTCGGGAGCATGTCTGTAGGCGCCCGCGCGCCAGGCCAAGAAGCTGCCGGCGACGGAGGGGGGCGATGACGACGACGAGGAGGAGGAGGACAGCGACGCCGTCTTCGAGGCGAAGCCGCGGCTCAAGCCGAAGAAGCGGGCCGCGCTCGGGAGCGGGTACAAGCCGCTCGCAAAGAAGAGGTGGAGCGCCGAGGAGATCGAGGCGCAGCCTCCCGCCTTCGACCACCCCGCCCGTGCACACACCTCCACCTCACCTCCTGAACCCCTCCCCCCCCGGCCCTTGGGTCCCTCCCTCCCCCCGCCCCCTCCCCCCCCACACCCTGCCCGTCCACCTTTCCCCCTTTCCCCCGCACCCTTCCCCCGCACCCTCCCTGGACCCGCTTTTGACCGCCCTGGAGGCCCCCCTCCCCCCCCCCCCCCCAAAGGCCCTTCCGGTGCTGGTCAAGCCGCAGCAGATGTTCGACGACATGGTGACGCGGACCGAGGCGCAGCAGGCGTGCAAGGGGGCCGCCCTCGAGGGCCGCTCGCTCGAGGGGCTTGCGCGCGAGCTGGCGGGCAGGCGAGATCGAGCCGAGGTCTAGCCGAGATCGAGCCGAGGTCGAGCCGAGATCGAGCCGGGGTCGAGCCGAGATCTGCCCGAGGGGGAGGCGAGGCTTGGCCGAGGGGTCGCCTCGCGTTGCTCTCCCGCGTGCAGCCCTTCTCCGACCCTTCTCCGACCCTTCTCCGACCCTTCTCCTACCCTTCCCCGACCCCTTCTCCTCGCCCTCGGCTCAGGCCTCTCCGAGTCGCAACGATGTGCTCCGGGACCGAGTCGCCGCTGCTCGCGCTCGACATGATCTGCGGCGCGCTCAAGGCGCAGAGCGGGCAGTCGATCGCGGTGGAGCACGTCTTCTCGTGCGAGATCGAGCCCTTCAAGCAGGCCTACATCGAGCGCAACTTCGCGCCGCCCCTCCTCTTCCGCGACATCCGCGAGCTCGGCGACGAGGAGGCGACGACAGCGTACGGCGCGACGCGGCCGGTGCCGGACGAGGTGGACAGACATGGAGGTGTGAACAGCGTCTCTTCACACCTACTGCTGTGAACAGGTGCCGGGCGAGGTGGACGTGCTGATCGCCGGCACGTCGTGCGTCGACTACTCGACGATGAACAACAAGCAGAAGAAGATCGACGAGAAGGGCGAGTCGGGCCAGACCTTCTGGGGCATGCTCGCGTGGGTCAAGCGGACGCGGCCCTCCATCGTGGTGCAGGAGAACGTGTGCAGCGCGCCGTGGGAGGAGATGGTCGGCTACTACGCCAAGGAGGGGTACGCGGCGACCTTCCTGCGCGTGGACACGAAGAACCACTACATCCCGCACACGCGCACGCGCATCTACCTCCTCGCGCTCGACACGCACGCGCCCAACCGGCGCGCGGCCGCGCTCGGCGACGCGCCGATGGGCGAGGCGGGCGGCGCGGGCGAGAGCGGCGTCGTCGGCGAGGAGGTGCTCGCTCGCTGGGAGGCGGCGGGGCATCAGATGTCCGCGACACGTCCGCGACACGTCCACGACACGCCCCGCAGGAGCTCGCGCGCTGGGAGGCTGCCATCAGCGAGCTGTCCTGCCCCGCCTCCTCCTCGCTCGAGGCCTTCCTGCTCCCGACCGACGACCCGCGCGTCCACACCGCGCGCGAGGACCTCTCCCACATCGACCCGACCAAGCAGCGAGGCGTGGTCGACTGGGGCCGCTGCGAGACGCGCCACCAACGCGCGCGCACCGACGAGGAGCTCGGCGCCAAGCGCCCCCTCACGCAGTGGGTGTCGCAGGGCCACTGCGCCGGCCCCGACTTTGCGTGGCACGACTGGTGCCTTCGGGCGGAGAGTGCTTCCGGGCGAGACGAGCTGCCTCTTCACAGCCCCCCCGGTGTGAACAGGTTCAAGAGCCAGGTCGAGCGCGTGGTCGACCTCTGCGACATCAACTACCTCCGCCTCGCGCGCGAGGGGCAGGACGCAAACTACAAGACGCTCGTCTGGAACCTGTCGCAGAATGTCGACCGGTCCACGGCGTCGTCGCGGCCGGGCGTCTGCCCTTGCCTCACGCCGAACATGGTGCCGTACGTCACCAACCGCGGCGGGCCGATCGTCGGGCCCGAGGTCCTCGCGCTGCAGGGCAGTCCGGCGGACGGCCTGCCGCCGGCATGCCGAGGACGCGTCCATCACGCGTCCGGTGCCTGTGCAGGCATCCCGGTGGACGACCTGCTGCTGACGCGCGAGAACAACGACCAGATGGCCGACCTCGCGGGCAACGCGATGTCCTCCACCATCGTCGGCACCTGCATCCTCGCCGCGCTCCTCCTCTCGCGCGACACGCTGCGCGCCTTCGACGCCCCCAAGCCCGACGCCGCCGCCGCCGGCGCGGGAGGGCTCGTCACCTCGACCGGCAGCAGCGAGACGCAGGTGACGCTTCCTAGACACTTCCTAGACACTTCCTAGACACGTCACCTCGACCGGCAGCAGCGAGACGCAGGCGGACGTCGCCGGCGGGTTGGCGATGGCGGAGAAGCCGCTCGCGCTGCTCGGCGAGGGCGGCGTCGGCCCGCTGGCGCAGCTGCTCGCCGAGGCGGCGGGCTCGGCACGCATGTGCGCCTCGGAGGGTCGCACGCGCGTCGCGAGCGACATTGTCCGCTGCGCAAAGTGCGGCACGACAAAGTCAAAGTCGGGATGCCCCGAGTCGTGGCCGGAGCACGTCGACATGGCGCCCGTCACCGAGCCGCGCACTCCGCCGCGCGAGTTCGAGGCCAAGCTCGCCGCCGCCCTGCCGATGGTCGTGACGCTCGGAGGGCTCGGCTGCGCGGACGGCATGCGGCCCGCCGGCGCGCTCCTCCCCGCCGGCATCGAGGCGAAGCTGCTCTCGCCCACGCGCGGCGGCGGCGACGACGACGACGAGGACGAGGACGAGGAGGGCGCCCCGCGCCGCAAGGCCAAGGCCAAGCCCGCCGCGAAGAAGGTGAGCCCGCTGCTGCTGACGACACGGCCGCGCGGCGCGTGTGTGACGCGTCCCCCTCTCCCTCGCACAGGTCGGGCCGATGGACAGGCTGCTCGGCAAGAAGAAGAAGGCGGAGCCGCCGACGCCGCTCTCGCCGCCGCGCCGCGCCGACGCTGCCGCCGCGCGCAAGTCGCCGCCGCGGCAGCGCGACGCGGCGAGCTCGAAGGACGAGGCGCTGTGGCGCGGCTGGGCGGCGGCAGTCAAGGCGCTCGAGCGCGAGCGCTTCACCTACGCCGAGGCGACGCTGGTGCGAGCCGCGCCAGCCCCCCTCGCCCCTCCCGACCCCTTCTCCGAGCCCCCGTTCAGGCGACGCGCGGCGAGTCGTGGTCGGTCACCTTCCGCTCCGAGAAGGGCCGCGTCGTGATGCACCTCGGCCGCGAGTGCGTCGAGTGGCTCGCGTACGCCTCTCCGCCGCCGCAGCGGGGCGTGCTGCGCGAGCTGCTGCTCCAGCCCGTCGCGCGGATGCGCGTGCCTGCCTCCGCCGCCGGCCTGCTCGACGGGGCGTGGGAGCTGTGCTTGCCGGCGCTGCGCCAAGAGCCGGGTCTCGGCCGCGACCGAGACGTGTCCATGACGTGTCCGGGACATGTCCCATAGGTGCTGCGCCAAGTGTCGGTCACGGTCGCGTCGGTCGGCGAGCCGGTCGAGTCGTGGCAGGCGTCGATCGGGCTCGAGGCGGAGTGGAAGGGGTCGACTCGCTTCCGCTCGTGGCGCGTCGAGATGGCCGACTCGGCCGCGCGCCTCTTCGACGTGGATGTGCGCGGCGAGCGCGAGTTGCGGGTTGGGTGTGAGCGGCGTCCGCTGACGGCTCGAGGTGTGATCAGGTGCGCGGCGAGTACGAGCTGCTCGAGAAGTGCGGCGGCGCGATGAACTGCCTGCACCGGCGGGTGGGTGACGGCGCCCCGCTCTTCCTCTTCCTCGACCCGCACCGGATCGGGGCTGCGGAGCACGACTCGGTCGTGTTTGCCACGTCTGCGGAGCGGGTCGGGTACGGAGAGACGCGCCGCACGGTCGCCTCCCTCGACGCGTCGTGGCGGCCGTGGACCTCCGGCGATTCGCCTCCGGCGTCGCGCAGCGAGGCGGTGCACTGCATCGTGCGCGGGGCATGGGCGGCTGCGCCAAAGGCGTCGCTGCCTCCCGCCGGGGATCAGGTTGTGAAGAGGCGCCGTTCACGCCGCAGGCTGTGGACAGGTGTCGCTCTCTCCCGTCGGGTACGAGGGGGCCAAGCACGCCTACCCCGCCGCGCCGCCAAAGCTCCTGCTCGATGCCTCCTCCCGCGCTTCCGCCACCGCGCCGGCGGCGGTGCCGGTCGTGCGGTGCGGCCGCCCCTCGCCGAGTGAGAGCTGCGGCCTGCGTGCTTCTCACACTCTGGCCGTGAGCAGGTGCGCCGTCCCCCTCTCGGAGGAGGAGGCGGCCGCGTGGCCGAAGGGCGAGTGGGAGCAGATCGCGGTCTCGAAGTCGCGCCGCAAGTTTGAGGTCGTCTCGCGGACCGCGGAGTGGGTGGCTCCGGCGCAGGAAAGGTCGATGATGACTGACGATGGTTCGACAGGCGATCTCGTGGATCACCGAGCGGCTCGACCTGCCGCCCCAGATCTCGGAGTGGACGGCCCTCGGTGCGGCGGACGCCTTCGCCGCCTGGTCTGCGGGCGGGTCGCCTTGCGAGGTCTGCGCGCCCGCGATGCCCAAGCTGCAGTGGGCGCATGGCTCGCGCGGGCAGGCGGCTGCGACACGAGGGCCCGTGAGCAAGGTGCGGTTTGGCGGCGCCTCTTCACGCCGGTGCGCTTGTGAACAGGTCTCTGCGCTCGAGGACCCGGTGCAGGCGGGCGCGTACGAGCAGGCGCTCAAGCGGCGCCCCGCCGCCTTCGGCGTCAAGCAGCGCGCCGCGCCCGCGCCGGGCGTCGGCAGCGCGCTGCTGGGCGAGCTCGAGGTGACCGCCGCCCCTCTTCACACCCCCTCCCGTCCTTTGCGCCTCTTCGTCCCGCTTCCCCTCTCCTCATCCCCCCTCGCTTCGCCCCACGCTTCGAGGTGTCCGCCAACCCGCTCGCCCTCGCGATGCGCGCTCTCGCACTCGTGCCCGTCGGCGGAGACACCGCCGCGGCGGAGCTCTCGTGGCGCATCGTCCGCCACTGCGACACGAAGGAGGGCCTGCCGCCGCTGACGCTCTCCTCCAACAAGCACGACCCGGCCGCGCCCCAGCCGCCCCACTTTGGCCCCTTCAAGGGCCGCGTGGGCAAGGTGCTCGCGCTGCGGCCCGAGCAGCAGCGCTCGCTCTCGTGGATGCTGGAGCAGGAGGAGGAGGGCGCCGCACCCTTCATCGAGGAGGAGGTGGCCGAGGCGACCGCTCTCCCACGCCCAGACGAGAGGCTCGAGGCGAGGCCGTGTCCGCGACACGTCCGTGGCGCGTCCCGCAGGCGACCCTCCCCGCCCTCAACTGGCGGCTCGAGGCGCGCGCGCGGGTGCCTCGCGTCGTGCGCGGCGGCGTGCTCGCCGACGAGGCAACAGCGCCGCAGCAGTGGGCCTCACGCTGTGAGCGGCGCCTCGCTCACGCCTCGAGTGTGTGAGCAGGTCGGGTACGGAAAGACGGTCATCACCGTCGCCCTCATCGACGCGGCCCCGCGCGAGCCGCTCCCCCCTCCTCCGCCTCTGCGGCGCGACGGGTGCTTCCCGCCTCGAGCCCGCCTCTGCCTAGACACTTCCTAGACACTTCCTAAACTCCCGCCTCGAGCCCGCCTCTGCCCCGCTGGGACACGTCCTCGACGCGCCGCGCCGCGTCTCCCGCAGGTTCATCCCGCTCAAGGCGACCCTCGTCCTCGCCCCGTCGCACTTGCTGCGGCAGTGGCCGACCGAGGTGGAGCGCTTCACCGGCGGCGCGCTCAACACGGTCGTCCTCGCGACGATGGCAGACGTCAACAAGTGCGTAGACACTTCCTAGACACTTCCTAGACACTTCCTAGACACTTCCTAGAAATGGCGGACGTCAACAAGTGCGCCGGCCGCCTCGAGAAGGGCGGGCTGAGGACACGCGCTCTCCACCCCTCCTCCTGCCCACCCCTCCTCCGCAGGCACTCAGTCAAGGACCTCGAGAAGGCGGACGTCGTCGTGTGCGCCATCACGCTGCTGCGCAACGACCTCTACTTCGAACGGCGCGACTCGCCAGCCGGACGATGCCACCTGGAGCCCCTCTCCGACCCCCCTCCGACCCTCCTCCGGACCGTCCTGCAGGCTGGCCGCCTTCGCCGGCTCGGGCGCGCTGCCCAACGGCAAGGCGTCGCTCCGCCACTTCACGCAAGCGTACGGCGAGGCGCTCGGCGGGCTGCAGGAGCGAGCCTCCCCCCCCCCCCCCCCCCGCCCCGCCCCCTTCCCCCCGCCCTCCCGCCCCCCCAGCACCTCGGCTAGGCGTCGGGCTAGATCTCGGCTAGATCTCGACCACGCCTCGGCGACACCGCAGGAGCAAGTCGCCTCCCTCTCGAGCGGCGACCTCAGCGCGGCGCAGAGGCGCGTGGCGGACGGGCGCGCGGGGCGCGCCTCGCAAAAGAAGGCGGCCGCTGCGTCGGTGATCGGCAAGTCGCTCGGCAACACCGCCAACCGCGTCGAGGCGAGAGCAGCCGAGATGTGGCCGAGAGCAGCCGAGGTGTGGCCGAGAGCAGCCGAGGTGTGGCCGAGAGCAGCCGAGGTGTGGCCGAGAGCAGCCGAGGTGTGGCCGAGAGCAGCCGAGGTGTGGCTGAGAGGGGGGCCACATTCCTGCCGTAGCCGGAGCCGTCCCTGAAGCTTCTCATCCTTCCCTGCCAGGCGGGCGTCAAGCTCGAGTCGATGGCGATGGCCGTTGCGCCCAAGGGCAAGAAGGCGACTTACGCGGCCGAGAAGAAGGCGGCGGCGGCCAAGGCGAAGACCAAGGAGGAGGCGGAGGAGGAGGAGGCGGAGGAGGAGGAGGAGGAGGAGGAGGCGCGCACCGCTCTCCGCCGGAAGGAAGCCGACCGGTGTGAGGGCTGCCTCTTCACAGCGGCTGCTCTGTGAACAGGCGCCGCCGCCCAAGAAGGCGCGCACGCAGGCCAAGCCCAAGCCGGCGGCGCGCGGCGCGGGCACGAAGCGGACCTGCCAAGACATGCCCATGACACGTCCGGGACATGTCTTGCAGGCGCGCGGCAAGGGCACGAAGCGGCCGGCGCCGGCGCAGTCGCAGTCGGACGAGGACTTTGCGGACTCGGACGAGGAGTCGGAGGAGGAGGCGGAGTCGGACGAGTACGACGAGTCCGAGTCGGAGGAGCGGGCCCCAATCACCCCCAATCACCCGACAATCACCCAGAGTCACACAGAATCACCCGGAATCGTTCGGGCGCCCCCCTTCCTCAGTGATTCATGGTTCTCCTGTAGGAGGAGCGACCCGCAAAGAAGAGGCCGGCCGCCAAGGCGAAGCGCGCGGCCAAGCCAGAGGAGAAGGACCCGTGGGGGCTGCACGGCACCAAGGCGTCCAAGGACTGGAAGCACTTGCAGGCGCTGCCGGTTGAGATGTTTTACTGGAACCGCGTCGTCATCGACGAGTTCACGTACAACAACGAGCGCGACAACGTCGCCATCGTCACCGGCGTCAAGGCCGCCGCCCGGTGGGTCCTCTCGGGCACGCCGGACGTGTCTGGCTTCTCGGCGGTCGCAAAGACGGCGCAGCGGCCCGTCACCCCCCCCCCCGTTCGGCTCGACGGGACGTGTCCGTGACACGTCCGCGACCCGTCCCGCAGGCGCAGTGGCTCGGGCTCACCCTCGGCTCGAGCGACGCCTCGGAGCTGACCAAGGCGGAGCAGAAGCAGCAGTCGGCGGCAGAGCGCTTCGCCTACTTCAAGGAGGTGCACACGCCCGCGTGGCACGCGACGCGCCACGCCATCGCGCAGGACTTCCTCGACCGCTTCGTGCGGCAGAACGTGGCCGAGATCGACGAGATCCCGTGGCGCGAGCAGGCGACCCGTGTCCGCAAAGTACGGCGCCGCGGAGGAGCCTTGCCCACGACCCTTCTCGGAACCTTCCCTGTAGGCGGCGGTCGTCGCGCTGCCGCCGCCCGAGCGCGCGCTCTACATCGAGCTCAAGAACCACCTCGAGGCGCTCGACATGAAGAACTCGCACAAGACCATCAAGTCCAAGTGCAAGTCGGAGAACGACCGCGAGGCGCGGCTGGCGAACGTGCTCGGAGGCTCCGCCTCGCCCGAGGAGGCGAGATCGAGCCGAGATCGAGCCGAGATCGAGCCGAGATCCGGCGACATATGGCTGGTGGCATATGGCCGACGTGCAGACGGCGTCCCCCCTGCCCGAGGGTCCCCTGCCCGAGGAGGCGCCACTCGAGCGCCGCTCAGCGAGGGACACGTCCGCGACACGTCCGCGACACGTCCGCGACACGTCCGCGACACGTCCGCGAGCTGCCCCCCCCCCCCCCCCCGGCCCCGCAGGCGCTGCTCAAGCGCTGCTCGCACTTCGACATGGTCGGCAACTCGACCTCCGCCGCCGCCGCCTGCGACGAGATCGTCGCCACCCGCACGGCGCAGCTGCAGCTCTGCGCCGACGAGATCGAGAGGCAGACGGCGTACGCGCGCGACGCGATCGGCGCCTTCGAGGCGCACCACAAGCCGGACAAGCTCGACGCCAAGCAGAAGGAGCTGCTGCTGATGCCGCGCACCCACTTCGACGACTGGCGGAGCAAGGAGGTCGCGGCGAGCGGCGACGACGAGGCGGCGCGGCGGATCGCGCAGCTCGTCAAGGCGACTCCTCCCTAGACACCCCCCAGTCGCAGACACTCCCTACGCACGTCCTAGACACCTCGCGGCTCGTGAAACCGACACGCCGCGGCCGCTGCGGGCCTGCGCCTCCTCACGCCGGTCCGCTGTGTGCAGGCGGGCCTCGCTCGGGCAAAGGGCAAGGTGTCGCTCCCCTCCAACGAGAAGGGCTTCAAGGACAAGCTCTACTGGACGCGCGACCAGGCGCACCCTGCTGCCGCGGCCGCAGCACGCGCTGCGCGCCGCACCCCCCCTCACACCTCTGCCCGCGAGCAGGTGCACCTCCTAACCCCAACCCTAACCCTAACCCTAACCCTAACCCGCGGGCAGGTGCACCTGCTCCGCCGGCTGCAGAAGGAGCTCGTCGGCCGCGTGCGCTCCCTCCGCTTCTTCGAGGCGGTGCGGACGGTCCAGCGGGGCGGCTCGCTGCCCGGCCTCGCCGCAGGCCAGCTCCCCCTCGCCGAGCCTTGCTCTTCCCACACCCCCAGCTGAGCCTCGCTCTCCCCTCTCCCCCCCCCCCCCCCTCCCCCCCTCCCACACACACACACCACACACACCCGGACCCCGCCTGCAGGCCAGCCCTCCTCCTCGCTCAGCCTGCTCTCGTCGTGCGGCCACGCGGGCCCGCACGAGGCGCTGTGCGAGCACGCCGAGCGGCAGGAGTGCCCGCACCCCGGCTGCAAGGCCGCCGTCCGGCCGGGCTGCGTCATCCGCGTCGGCGAGCTCGGCTCGGCTCGGCGGACGGCACACGCCCGCGACACGCCCGCGACACGTCCACGACACGCGTCCCTCAGGCGAGCTCGGCTCGGAGACGGCGGACGGCGCGGGCGGCGCCTTTGGCGCGAAGCTGTCTGCGGTCGCGTCGCTGATCGGCCGCACGCGGGAGGAGGAGCGGGTGCTCGTCTTCGTGCAGTTCCCCGACCTGCTGCAGAAGGTGCACGAGGCGCTCACTGCGGCGGGCCTTCGCGTGGCGATGCTCAAGGGGACGCCGACGCAGCGCTCCAAGGTGATTGAGGACTTCCAGCAGCACACGCTCAAGAAGGGCGACGCTCGCGTGCTGCTGCTCAACTTGCGCGACGAGTCCGCCGCCGGCGCCAACCTGACCCAGGCCTCGCACGCGATCTTCCTCCACCCGCTCCTCGTCGGGTCGCAGCAGGAGTTCGACTCGTGCGACACGCAGGCGCGGTGCCCCCCTCTCACCCCGCCAGACCGCCGCACCGCCGCCGCCGCCGCCACCCACCCGCCCCACACCCCCCTCCCCGCACCCCCCCCTCCTCCGCCCATCCACGCCCCCCCTCCCAGGCCGTCGGACGCATCCGCCGGTACGGCCAGCAGCGCACCGTCCAAATCTACCGGTTCGTCGTCGAGAGCTCCATCGACACGGACATCCTGACAGCGCGCCGCGCAGACGCGAGCACGCTCCTCGCCGAGGCGGGGCGCGGAGATGACGTCGCTCCGCTGGAGTGAGCGGCCCGGCGCATTTGTGGCGGACCCTTACGGTGCTGCGTGGGTCGCCGGCGCCGCGGCTGGGGGCTCCCATTTTTTTACTCCCCTGCTCTTCCGCGGCCCCTCTGTACTTGGAGCGCGCTCTGGGAGTCGGCGCGTCGAGAGACACGCACACATGTCTGTGGCTCCCGGGCCTAGTAGCGCCCGTCTAGGTTTGTTGGTATTCTTTTTGTAAGAGAGAGTCCGCTTGCAGGAGACACTCCGCAGCAAAATTCTTTTTCTCACGCCGCACAGTGTCAGTGATCAGTGTGAGATAGAAACAAAATCCCCCCCTTGGGGGTTGGAAGTACGGCACAAATAGAAAGAAAGAAAGAAAACAGACAACCCAAGGGAGGGATGGGAGGACGGCACGCCGCCACCACACAGGAGGGCGGAGTGCGACCTTGGAGCACTTGGAGCACTTGGAGCACTCGGAGGCACATTAAATTCTTTTTCACGATGCACGGACGATTCTACCGCCTGTCTGCTTAGCCGCACCGCTCCTCCTCGATAGCCCCGCCCAGGCCGCGCTCTCTATCGCCGGCCTTGCTCTGATCTACACCTTGGTCGTCTCTATCGCCACATCATGGTCGTCGCTGACGCCATCACGCTGCTGCGCTCGCCATTGCTCAAGTCATCCTCCGCCGTCGTCGCTGTCGCCGGCCCGAGCGCCAGCGAGTCGCAATGCACCGTGGCTCTTATCAAAAACATTGTTGGCACCGGTGTGCTGACGCTTCCTGCCGGCGTCGCGCGCCTCACCGACTCTGGAGCCACTCCCGCAGAGGCGATCGCTCTCGCGGTGCCTCTCCTTCTCCTCTTCGGCGCCCTCAACGCGTGGGGCTTCCTTCTGATCGGCCGTGTCTGCGTCGAGACCGAGCAACCATCGTACGTCGGCGCCTGGACCTCCACCCTCGGCTCACGGCTCGCGGCCTTGCCCGCCGTCGCCTCGCTCCTGCTCTGCTCCACAGCAGCGATCGCCTGCGCCACCGTCATCGCGGACACCGGCACTGACCTGCTCGCCGCGCTGTTCGCGCTCCCGGCAGCGGACGTCTCGAGGGCGGCCGTCCTCTTCGGCTGCGCCGCCTCCGTCCTCACGCCGCTCTGCCTCCTCCCCTCCCTCGCACCCCTCGGCACGGCGTCTTACTTTGGAGTCGCCGGTGCCCTCTCACCGCTCCACGCTGTTGGCCCAAGCGACACGCCTACGACCCCCCCCCCCCCCCCAAGGTGTCCTCGTCACCGCCCTCTGCATGATCGCCCGCCTCGCTGACGGGACGTACGATGCCACCGACGCCGCCGCGCTAGCGGACGCCGGCGCCGCAGCAGCAGAGGCGGCAGGAGGAGGAGCAGGCGGCGGTGGAGGAGGGCTCGGCTCGCTCCCTTCGGCCGGCGCCGTCGCCTCTGCGCCCGTGAGTGGCGCGGGGACGCGTAAAAGACACGTCCACGCTCCGCCCCTCAGGCGCCATCGCCTACTTTGTCTCTCTCGTCTCGAATGCTTTCCTCGCGCACTACAACGCTCCTTCCGTCCTCACGGCCCTGGCGCCGCAGCCGGCGGGGGAGGCCGCTAGGGCGGGGGCGCCGGAGGAGGAGGCTGCTCCCTCGTGGCTTGCGGTGCGGCTGCGGCGCGCCGCCGAGATCAACGAGGAGTTCGCCGAGTACGCGCGCCGCCTGAGCCCTCCGCTGCTGCGCCGTCTCCGCATCGGCGGCGGTAAGGGTGGCGACGAGGGAGGAGGCGGCAAGGGTGGCGGCGGCAAGGGTGGCGGCGGCAAGGGTGGCGGCGGCAGGGGTGGCGGCGGCGTCGCTGCCTACGAGGCGGCAGAGGGCGAGTCCGGAGGCCAGCTGGCCGCCTATCGGCGGGTCGTGCTGAGCGCGTTTGGTCTCTCTGCTGTGCTCTTCGTCGCAATCGGTGCGGCGGGGGCATCTGCCCTACTGCTCTTGGGCATGTCCGGGACGGGGCATGTCCGGGACGGGCCGTGGACGTGTCCCCAGGTGCGGCGGGCTACCTCACGTTCGGCGCCGCCTCGGACGCGAACATCCTCAACTCGTACGCCTCGGCGGACCCGCTTGCGGTGGTGGCGCGGCTCGGCGTCGGCGCGGCGGTGCTGTGCGAATTTCCTCTGCTCGAGAGGCCCTTCCGCACGACCCTCGTCGAGATGCTCAAGCTGCCCCCCGCCGCAGCAGCGAGGCTCGGCACTCTAGCCGGGAGGGGGTCGAGATGAGCCGGGATGCGAGTCGTTACCCCTGCAGCGCCCTCTGGTGGCAGCCAGGCATCTCTGCGGTCTCATGCTGGGCACACGGGGCCTGAACAGCAGAGCTCTCACCTGCAGCTGTCAGCAGGCCCGCGGTCGTCTGCTCCTCGGTCGCAGCGCTCTGCGGCGTCGCCGCCCTCGGCATCGATCTCGACACGATCTCGGCGCTCGGAGGCGCCACGGGCGGCTCCCTCCTCATCTACGTCGCCCCCGCGCTGATGGCGCTGCGCAGCTTCCCCCGCGGAGAGACCGACGGCATCCCGAAGATCGGGCAGACGCCGGCCGGAGCGGTGGTGATGGCGATGCCGAAGCCGCCGCCCGCGCAGCCGCCGCCGCCCCGCGGCGTGGCCGAGAGCGCCGCCCTCGTCGCTCTCGCCGTCACGGGGCTGGCCGCCGGCCTCGTTGGCACCGCCGAGGCGCTGCGCTGACCTCGCATCTCTACGAGGTTGTGTACATTTGGATGCTCTCGGGGGGAGTTTCGCGCCCCTGTAGCTCTACGTGTTTGAGTTTGTGTGAGTTCGGGCGCCGTACCGTTGACTTGTACCATATTACGTGGCTGGGTTCACAGCGATTGTAGGAAAATTGGGGGACCACTCGACGGTCGCGGCCTTCCGACTCGCGCCTCGAGCCTCACTGGCACTATTCGTGCAGCCCTGGCCGGTGCGCGTGCAGAGTTGAAGTTCCCGAGCGAAAATTCGAACGCGTTCTCCATGGTGATAAAAAATGTCCATCTCAGAGGCACCTCCGGAGCCTACTCTGTGAATACGCCCCGTATTCCAAATGACCTCCAAAAGGGCCGTATTCCGTATAAAATTGCAGTTTTAGGCCGTATTCCACACGTATTCCGGAATACGTATTCCAAACGAGGCCCCAAAATGGACGTATTCCGTACTCCCCGGGCCGTCCGCGCACAGACCACAGGAAAAAACAAAAACCTTCGTGCCACCTCGCGGTCGCCCCCTTCTCGTCGTGCTCTCCCCGTCCTACCCGATCCCTCCCTTGGGTGCTCTGTTTTCTTTCTTTCTCACCCCCCACGACTTGGGTGCAAACGCCGTATATTGCGTACTCGAGTATACGATTACGAGGTTTGTGGCGCCTCGAGGAACGCTGTCCTGGAGTGGTGCCTTGGGCATCGGACGACATGAGTGAGTGAGCACCTCGTCCCTTTCATACACGACTCTTGTGAAGGGTGTGGCGCCGTTACCAGATCTCATAAAAGAAAAGTTTTTTCACGAAAATGCGGCGTGAAAATCTTGACACGCCCTCCGAGAGTGCTCACCTTCCGACGGCTCCTCTTCTTCCCAGGAGCGCCACCACCTCGCCCCCTCACGCTCACCCAGCTGCGGCAAGCGCTCCCTCTCGTCGAGCTGTACATGCACTCACTCTCTTGCCGCCGCCGCCGCCTGCCACGGCCTCGAGGGGCAGCCCACTCCGGCGCCTATGGTGCCGCGGTGCTGAGCCAGCTCCCCTGCCGGTCACCGAACGCGCACGCGTTTTGTACGGTCTTCCGAAGAACAACAGCGCTACCCACCAGCGCCACCCGCACTGCCAGCACCGCCGGCGCCACCAGCACACGCTGAAGCCTTGCAGCGCCAACAACGCCACACGCCAGTGCCACAGGTGCGATGCCTTACCAGCCCACGATCCTGGTGAAGCTTGTGGGCCATTGCAAAGACTGTGGCTGTGAGCTCTTCGACGACGAGGTGCGGTACGCCGTCCAAACCTCCAGCGGCAAAAAGTACATCTGTCCCTCGTGCAAAGAGGACGGAATCCGGTTCGGAGGCCAGTAAAGAGGAGGCACCAAGGCCCCCGGTGTTGTCAAGCCCGGTCTGGATATGTGGGCCGTATCCGTATCAGCGAGAGCGCGAGATATATCTTGTTGGCCTCTCTACGGCGGCCCGGCCCCGGGAGGGCCCTCGTCGTCGTTTATCTTTGTTTAGAGTGTGTTTGTTTGTTTAGTACAAATACAGATGCATGCGCGCTCTCGAACGGGCCCGAAGCTCCGCTGCAAGAGCGTGGTGCGTGCTGCCACTACTCCGACACCAACACGTATGCTCGGCGACTGCCGGCACACTGTGAGACCATGGGTGTCAGGTAAAACCACGCTACCAGCGCTTGGTCACATCGGCCCCGAGGTCAGATTCTTCTATACTCTGTTGATGACAACACTTGTCTACTAGCTGGAGCCGAGCAGGAGGGCCCGGCGCACAACCCCTGGTCAACTCACGGTCCACACCCCGTATCTTGGAGAATCTGGCCCCAGTCTCAAGGCTCATGCAGCTCCAAAGGATGAGATTTCCCTCCCGAAAATCTGATCACCCGAATACCACACGTTCGGATCGCTCCTCATGCTCATCGCAAACCATGTCAGCAGTTCACCCTCGGCTTTCGAAACTCGGCGCCCGCCCTCTTTCTGGCCGCGTCCCTCTCCTGTCCTTTCGACTGCATTCCTCTTTTACATACATAAGAGAGCGAGAAATTTTCTTCGCTCCGCGAATTCACAGAGTAGGCTCCGGAGGCGCCTGCGGAGGCAGGCCGCCGCACGCCGGCGACACAGCTCCAGCTGTCGAGCTGACCCGCAGCACCTCTCAGAGCGGGAACTGTGACAAAAGTTGACTGAGGCGGTTGTCAGGAATCATCATACGGATCACATGGTGGCTCTTTCATGACGGGAGACCGCCCGATCACTCCTGGGTGGCACTGCCACTGGTGTCGCTTGACGTCCTGTCGACAGCGTGCCGACACGGCGCGACACTGTGACCATGTGTGACGCGTCGAGTATCGACCTCTACTGCTTACCCAGCCTTCGAGTGTATCCTGGCCGTGGTCCCACACCCACTGGTGTCCATCTCAGAGACCGCAGGAGGTCATCAGGGTCGATGGGAGTGCCAACCCCACAATGCCTACGAAGTGTAAAGACCTAGCGCCAGCCGCCGGCAGCGCCCCCTGACGCCTCTGAGCCCAGTACGTACTTTTAGCTCTCTCGGTCTCTCTCGCCCAGTATACGTTCGAGCGTCCATTTGCATTTCGTTTCGGCATACGGATACGCCCCTTCATATACGCAATACGGCTTTGTAATCTGTGTTAGCTGAAAAGAGGAGCTACAGGCTTAGAGTACAGCGGAACTACACACCGCGATCCGCATCAGTTTCATGTCGACTCAAGTAGAACTCGAGGTCTGCGACCAAAGAGACGTGGTCGGACGGGAACTCCGCGCTTGGGATCGCAACGTGGCGCCGTAGCTCGTCAATCGGCGGCAGCGGCGCCACACCAACCACGCGAAGCGTCTCGCGGCTGAAGCAAATCCAGTCGAGCGCGTTGGCGTAGCCGGCGACGCAATGAGTCGGCACGCAATGCGGACCGTACGCAGAGGCGAGGTCGAGGGAGTGGCACAGCGCGGCACCGCACGGAGGGAGTGGGTCAGGGGTCGGCTCGCCAGCCACGCCGGGGGAGGGAGGGCTGACGCCGTGCTCCCGCAGCCTCGCCCTCAGCTCCTCCAGCCGCGCCATCGCCTTCGCCGCATCCGCGTCCGCGAGAGGCAGCCGCGGGCTGGCGCCTGCCTGCTCCGCGATCTCGAGCGCAGCCAGAGAGGCGCTCGTGAGGAGAGTGCCTCCCGTGGCGGCGGAGGCGGCCGCCTCACTCGCTAGTGCTGCGCCGGCAAGCGACTCGCCGTTGCTAGCGCCGCCCTTCGGCCAAGCGATGGCCGTGCGGAGCGATCGCCGCAGCCGGTGGTATGCGAGAGAAGTGCGCCGCAGCTGCTCGACGAGCCCACCCTCTCCCCCTTCCCCTCCAGCCAT